ATTACATAAAAACTTAGATGTTTCTTAAGAGCATGAAGTCCTATCATTACAAATATTGTTTGTTTAATCATACGAGCAAGAATCTAACCATTATATACATTAGTAAACAGAACTATATTCTTCACTCATGTTATTACAAGTTCTTACTTGGCATGTAGAATTATTCCAGGCACATTGAATGTTGTTATTCAGGGTGATGAAATCGCATTAACCTTTCAAAACATTTAAACAAGAGGTATATGTACAACGAAATGTTTGAATAAAATCTAATTCACAAGTATTTGAATACTATTTACATTGTCGTTATGTAATTTGTGAATAATATCTTCTGCAATCTTCCTATGGATTTGATTATAAATTTAGGACTTAACATTGAGTGCCATCATATGAACATATTTGATTATTGATTGTTACTATTTCATTACAATAAATTTAAGGAACTGAACTACAAACTTAGGGAGTTTCAATACAATAATCTGAAAAACTATATTAATATAGAAATCCTGTATCTTTATTTTCATAGCTACAATAATATGATGTAGAATATGAAGATATAAAATCTTTTACAAGTAAACAAGTTGAAGAGTCCATTTAACATTTTTAACCTGCAGAATTAACATTACAATCTGAAATATTAGTATATTCAGAACAATTTGGTTTTTTTTCTATGCATGCAACATTTTAAGTTTACATCATACATATACTAGAAAATAAAAGACAATCATTTTAGCTAGTAGGTGTAATTGGGATATCAGTGCATTTCTATGTTATACAAGTTGTTCCATTCCACTTACATGGCTAATTGTTAACATCAATCAAACATTCATTTTAAATTAAATAACTTTCGCAATTTAATTTAATAGCACAACTAGATCCTAATTTAAGTGTACATTTAGGATTTAATGCTTAGCATTCTTCATGTGTGCTAAATTATTCTATTTCTGGTGCATCAGTACATAAATCATATATTCCAGAATCAATTTCACATCCTAATCCAGACTTATTTAATTTACAAGATGATAACCATTATCTACATTTTAAATTAGTATTAAAGGTTGTACTTGCATTAACACAAGTTCTATCTTCACAATTATTAGTTTGAGAATTCCAAAAGCATAAATTATTCAATGAACCAATATTACATTGCAATTCTTCAGTTAATTACTAACATTAAGGAAATTATTCAATGCATCCCCCATTCTATTTATTAACACATTTCTAATTGTGATACTTAACCCATTCTTAACATTAAGATATTGTAACAAATGAAAGAGGAGCATTATTGCAAGTTTAAAATTCACATTATTTTAATTCAATATTCCAATAACATGGAATCCCTTATAAGGTTGATTTACATTATTATTAATACTTAAATTAGTTGCATTCCAAATATTTAGTAATACATCCATTCTAATATACCATATCTATTGTAACAATTACATTTATTGTACATTTAATATCCCAATTTTGACAATCTTCATATGTACTTAGATGCAATGAAGCTGATTCACATCTTTTATGTTAACAACCAGAGGGAATCAAACATTTATTCATCTCAAAATCATAATTACATTCCTTTTCAGATAAGTTTTCGCATATTTTATTAACACAACTTTTAGATAAATAATTATAAGTACAAATACTTAATCTATCTGAACATTTTTAATTTGTATCATATTTAGGATATTTAAAACTTTTACATTCTTCTTCAAAACATTCATCATTTTCAATAACACATTATTTCCTATTTTTATTTTTCACACAACTTTTCAGATTCTTAATATCATTACAATTCTCAAAATTTTAAATACAACCATTTCCTTATCCACTTATACATTCATAATCATCTAGCCAATATATACATTAATTATGATCAAAATTTAAAGGAGCATCTTTACATTCTTTTACTTTACATATTTATATTCTTTCATCCCATATACAAAATCTACCTAATAGTTAATTAACTATTTGACAAGAATCTTACGTTTCTAATTAATCACATTAATTTGGTGTTATTTTGCATCCACCATTTCTTTTTGGAACACAGAATTGATTGCCATAATCAAATAATTAACATTAAAGCATTGATTTTACTATTATTGGTGCTTAAACACAACTTTTCTAATAACATTGTCCTTAATAATAAATACAAGGATTCCCTAGATTATCTATAACACATCCTTATTATTTAGTATATGATTAACATGTTGATTTCTCTATACATTAACTTCCATTACTAGTGCAATTTGATAAAAACTTCTAGCATTCTTCATGAGTACTTAAATATTTATTAGAACAATTTTTCTCAAAACATTTATTTAATGATTCTTCCCAAAAACACTTTATATTATGATAACTTTAAAAGCATTACTCTTCTTAAGTATACATATTACAATAATCTTTTGATCTAATACATCCGCCTAAATTAGATGTTGTGCAATAGCTAATTTATTCTCTGCATTCATAATCTGTATTTAAGATTTATGGCAATTCTTCACAACTTTCTATATTTTAACATTTATGACCGTCATTTGTCATTTTCCATATACAAAATTTCCCATTTATATTTTTATTTTGACATACTTATTTATTTTAATATTCTTGGCATTCATTCTTAGGAATACAAATTTATCCATTTGAAATACACCAAAAAGATGATGTTAAACATTTATCTTTTAATAAGTCATCACATTTCGTAAAATCTTAGCATTTTCCTAAGTGAAATGCACATTTCTTATTTAAAATGCATTCATCCTCCATAAATTATGAACAATAAGATAAAATTTGATTTTAAGATTCAGCATTCACATTTATTTAACATTTTTCATTCATATTGTTCCATAAACACTTTTGTGAATTATTACACTTATTTTCTTCAATAATATGAGCACATTCACATGAAATATTCATTGTTAGATTTAAATGTGATTGTAAGAGAAAATAGACAAAAACTATCAGATTCATTTTTGAAGCTTAATTAATTTATTTAACTTATTAGAAATTATATGTACCATATAGAATGTTTAATTTAGTAAAAATATTTTTAATTTCTGTAAATCAATTTTAATAAACAATGCTTTATTTGATAGTGTATGAATAAAATACAATATTAATTTGATTAATTTAAAAGAGTTCTCTTTTAACATAATTATATATATTAATATTATATGCAACATAGTCATATTTACAATTTATAAAAAAATCTATTTTAATCATTAATTTGTCTGCATGAATTGAATAAAGAATTTAATAATTTAAAATTTATATTATTTTTAAATGATATTATTGACAAGTTCAAGATATTTATTATCACTTTTGAATTTTAATAAAAAATAAACAGAATCATATATTGAAATAAATTTTAGACATTTAAACTAACATTAATTTTAAATTCCTTATTAAATTTATTTTTCTTTTATTTTCTGATCTTATTGAATTTGATAAAGGGACGATGAAATATACTTAATTTCTATTTTTTAAATCTAAATACTGTTAATTATTCTTCAAATATATTTAAACATTAATTTTATATTTTAACAAATTAACATACAGAAAATCTTGTAGGCCAATCAAAAATAATGTTGATAGTTTTACCACTAATTTTCAAAATAATTACCCAATAATATCAACAATTGATTCTTGTAATCAAATTATATAAATTTTATAAAAATTTAACTAATTAAGAATTTAAATAACTTTATTAAATATATTGGTTGCTTTATGAATTGCATCATTAAAATTATTATTTATTTATTTGATTATTTAAGTTTATATAATATTAATTAATTATTAATTTATAAATATTTTATGAACTAAAAAAATTTTTATAACAAACACAACAAAATGGAATCAAACTAAGATCTACTCTTGAGTTCTAGAAACAGAGTTAGATCAGCTTTTTAAGATATTTCGAATATGAATTTTACTTTTATTAATATAAAGGAGAAGGTTTTAAGATAACAAAAAGAGGACAAAAAAATTTCAAAGGGTAAAAGAAGAAATGCAATAATCCCATTTAATATAGAGAGGATGCTGATAAAAATGGAAAGTGCAGAATTTCAATTTATCAATATTTAGACTAAATCTGTGAATTAGATAGAGAAAGATATCTTATGTTATTTTGATAAATTCCGATCTGAAATTTATTAATATGAATTAGTGATAGAATAAAAAGTAATTAAAATATTTAATAGACTAGTCAAACTTTTTGAATATTGATTAACATGATTTTACAGGAGAGCAATTAGAAAGAGTACTAGATTGGATGGTATATAAGATGAAAAAGTTTAAAAAAGTCTCAAATGAGTCAATTTTCAAAGCTATTGAATTAGTTTATTAATATTTGTAGAACACTTATCATTTAACACTTAAAGATTTGGAATTAATATCAGGTTGTAGTATTTATATTTCATCAAAATTTGTTGATTTGTATCCTATATACATTGATGATTTATGTTAGGAAGTAAAACTATATTGATAATTTAGGTGTTGTAATAGAAATATTATAATTGTGATATTTTATCATAAGAGAGAAAGATATGCTAAAGTTTAAATTATAATTTATGTTTCACAACATCATTGTAATTAGTACATAGAATATTAATGGATTTAAAAGATTTAATAGAATAAATTTATAATAAAGAAAAAGTAGATATATTAATTTAGAAAACAATTGAGAATTTATTTTATATGGAAATAGGCTAAGAGTTTAGATAGATTTCATTGTGCAATAAGGCCCTAGCTTGTATTTTATTAACTATGATAGAAGAAAATATTGAGAGTAGAGTAGTAATTATTTGAATATTATTTAATGTGTTAAGCTGTGTTGTTGTGTGTGAATCATTTCAAATTGAATATTAACTGGATAGAGAGACACATAGAAGATTTGAGAACCTTCATTTAGGCTAACAAACATTTAAATTTGTTTAAGAGAATTCCTCATCATAAATATTGAATTTTTTTATGCGCCCAAATATAAGTTTATTATTTTTTAATTTAAAATGTCAGATCAATGTACCAAAGGAATTAATTGGGGCTCTGTTTCAGTTGATGATAAAAATTTGACACTGAAATATAATTCAAGCAATATAATCAAATTACCACTAAAAAAAGTGGTTAATTCAAATACTTAGAAAAATGACATCGTATTACAATTGACAACTGAAGAATGTGGCGAAAAGTATAGCTGCAATGATTAATTAGTGATGACATGTTATGCGAAGTGAGATTTTTTATTCCTCCATAAGAATAAGTAAAATTTGAAATAAAATTAGAAAGTCAAATAAGAAAAAAAAAAATAAGGGGAAGATTCTGATTAAGAAAAACTTGATGAAGAAGAAGAGGAAGAAGAAGAACCTACATTCTAATAAAAATTATAGAATGAAATTTTAGTTAAGGCTAAAATTGGTCAAAGTAGTGCTGACTCAATTCTTACAATACATGATGTACCTTTGATAGTACCAAGGTAATTTATATATATTAATTTTAAAAAGGGGACGTTATACTATGGATTTCTTTAAGAAAGATATACGATTTCATGGAAATACTTATTAATTCACAACAGATTATAAAGGCATATCAAGGTTTTTCTTATTGCCAATGCCAGATGAAATAAATTTATCACTTGTAATTGGATTAGAACATCCTTTCAAATAAGGATAAACAGCTTATAATTATTTAGTTATGCAGTTTAAAAAAGATTATGAAAATTAAATTAAATTAAAGTATCAGAGACAATAACTAGATGAAATTGGATGGAAAGAAATTAAAGAGGAGTATTCAGGTCCATTATATGACACAGTTTGTGAATTATTATCAGAAATAACAGGAATAAAGGTAGTTACACCAAAGAACTTTAAAACAAAGAATGGTTTATGTTGTCTTAGATGTTCTGTTGGTCCTCATTCTGGATTCTTATTTCCATTAGAGAAATCATTAATTTATCTACAAAAACCAGTTTTACATATTAAACATGAAGAAATAAAGGAAGTAATTTTTTAAAGAGTATATTATTATGATTAATTAATAGATTGGATCAACTAATTTGAATAAATTTTTTGATGTAAAAGTAGTATATAAAAATTCAAATTAATTGTTTTCTAGTATAGAAAAAGATGAATTAGATAATTTAACTTAATATTTATCTACAAAAAAGATAGCTGTTAGAAAATTATAAGAAGAACTCCCTCGTGTTCAACTTGATGAAAGTGATGAAGATGATGATGATGATGATGATAGTAGAAATAAAAAGTTAATTTAATATATATAATTTAAGGAAAAAAGCTAATGCAGATCTAAATAATTTAGATTCAGATGAAGATGATGATGATTTTCAAGAAGGAGATGTTGAACAATAATCAGAGGGAAGTGATGATGATAGCAATGATTCTGGAAGCAATTCAAGAAAGAAAAAATGAAGTCAATAATATAAAATTAAGATAATTCTTATAACAAATATTTAAATATTTATCAAACTATTAAAGAACTAAGATATATCATTTAATATATTGAATAATTCATAAATATTCATTCAACTGATCTTTATCTCCAAGAATTTACCATTCCTTAAATAAATACTCCTCCCATTCCAAAAAATGATGCCAAACTGTAATTAAATGATTTCCCATCTGAAAAATTGTATTAGAAGGTGTCATTTATAAATACTCCTGCAAATAAGCATACATATCCTGCTAATATCAACAATGCCATCACATAAGCAAGAGCTGCTTATTTCAAAAATGGTTACACCATTCCTATAAGAAATCCTACTAACATCAAAACAAAGGCAGAAATTGCAAGATTTAAGTAATTTCGATATTTATCATGGTCAGCTGTGCTAATATTAGTGATATATGAAAATTAAGTATAATCACCTCCATCATTTTCTTTCAAATATGAAACCAAAGCTAAATTCACAACCACAACCAATGACATAAATGTGTTACTTAAAAGAATTCTCATCTTTAAATCTCTAATGAGTTATAACAATAATTATTTACAATCCCATATGACCTTTTTGTTTTTTTTTAATTAAAATAATAATCAAATAAATTAACTTTCATTCCTTTTGAAACCCTCATTAATAAACTATTTCTCTTTATAAAGATGATAAATTTCTTAAATTTTACATATTTATTGATAAATATTTAATCAATTTTATTGTAATCCTTGTATATTAAGAAAAACTAAATTTTATAGAACAATTTCGAAGAAAATAATTAGATTTAAATTTCTGATTGAGTTTATGTCATCTCTAGTAAAATGTTTGAATTACTAAAATTAACATGACATTTAAAATTAAATTAAAATCAATATAATTTCAAATTATATTCTTAACTTATAAATTTATTACATCTTCTAAGAAATTTATATATTTTATAACTTTTTATTCAATAACTTATAATGTGTATTAAGCAATAAACTCTATATAATATTTATTATATGAAAAATTAAGAGATTTTTTATATATGTTAATTAGTACAAAAATTTTCACATTTTTATTTTATCTAAAAATAATTTATTTTTACTAGGACTAAATATGTATATATTTTTGACTTTTTCTGCAATTTTTTAGATTCTATTACTATTTAATCTTTATGTAGATGCTTCTCTTATATCAGGGAGATTTGATAAAGATTTGATATGTGTGAAATGACGAGCTGTTTATGTGGATTTGATTTTAATTGGAGATGAACTATCTGTTTCTGTTAGACTTTACAAATTTTGATATTGAAAATGAATTTATTTGTTTATTACACCAACAGATTTAGTTTGGTTAGATTATTAACGTTCACTAATGTAATTTTGAACAGAAGTAAAGGTTTTGCGTTATTTCTTAGTAATATCTAATACCACTTTTTAGGAATCAAAAAATCTCTCAGTTGATTATTTTTTTGAATTTCTTTTAATAATAGGTGAATTATTAAGAGATTAAGAATATCTTTTAAGTTCTTCTTATAATAGTAATAGTTTTTGAGAATTCTCCATATTTTATAATAAATCTTATTATTCTTTAAAACATCCAATTTATTATTAGAATTACTTTAGTATAATGTTAGATGATTTTTCATCCAATTTGGTAGGAATCTCATCTGTAATTTTTTATTAGGAGACTCCTAAATTAGTTTGCGATTTTAAATTATTTGAATGTTTAATTAAAATACTTGACATTCTTTTAAATATAGTTTTCTTTCTCATTTCATTTCTTTTAGTTTCCTTTTATTATTAATGATAGGCTACATAAGTAATAGGATATAGATAGGCTAGTCTAACCTAATAATATAAAATATAATTACTTATTTATCACTTAGAAGTTCACAACCACTACGTCTTCTAATTTTATTATTAATCTTTGGAAACTATATGGTTTAAATTTGACTTTGACTCTTTTACAGTTTATTTTTATATTTGATTTTAAGTATTCGATTAGAGAGTGCTCCTTGGAGAATGTAAGATTTTTTAAGGGGAAATTAGATATTCTCATGGGTAGGTATAGAATATTTATTTTAGGATTAAGATTTGAGTTAATTGTCATTTTAAGACCTCATAACAGAGTTTTCAATAGTAAAAGTAAACCTCTCTAATTTAGACATTTGTAATACTCTATCGATTAATGGTACATAATGGTGATTCCAAATATACACTAGTATCTAAATTTGATTGATCTTCAGATAGTTGAGTTTGAGTAAATCTTTAATATTCTTTTGATGATAACATAATTATATTTATAAAAATAAGATTCTTTTAATCAAGCTCCAAATAATTATGGTTTAGATTCAATATCTTCATAATCTGATGTTTCATCTTCTTAACTTGGTTGATTATTAATTTATTATTTTTAGTTTCTTTTTAGTTATTGAGTTAATTTTTCTATTGATTGCTGCTATTAAGTACATTTCTCTTATAATTTATTTATTTTATCTTCCATAATTTTTTAATTAGTTGATTTCATAACTTATAAATCATTTACTCTTTTTTTTAATGCTACCATTTATTTCTCTACTTCTAATTTACTTTCTAAAAGCTTAATAAATATAGAAATGATAATTTACAATTTTTATTTCTTTTTCATATTGATTATTCTTTTCCATAAATCTTCTTCTTAATGTTTCACTTTCTACTAATTTTTCACTAAGAGTTGCATTTTCTTCTATAATTTTACCCATCTTCTCTAATTTTCTCTCATTTTCAGACATTTAATTTACTTTTTATTAATTCTATTGTATTAATCCTATTAATAATAATTATTATTCAATACTTTCTTAATCTAATCTCTTATCTATTTCACCTTTCATTTAAAATTTTCTTTTGAATTCTTCATTCTCTTCTTCTAATTCTTCTACTCTCTCTTTAAGATTATCAACTTCTGCTTTATTTGCTTTTTACATTTCTTAATATAATCCTTATAATTTTGCTATTTATTAAGACATTTCTTCATTTTCTTTCTTTTCTTATTCTAAATCTTAAGTTATTCCTCCTAATTCTCTTTTAGTTTTATTATATAGATCTTTAATTGTTTCACATTAAGATTAAAGAGATGCTTTAACATTCCTTAAATTTTCAATTTCTTTCATTGCTGTTTCTAACTTTTTAGTTTATTAATCTATATATTTATTTTATTAGGCAATGTCAATTTTTAAATTTTAATTCTAAACATTTACACTCTCCAATTCTAACCCTAATTAATGACATTATTATCTTAAAGTTTCAACTATTTCTGATTCAATATTAGATTCTATTTGTTTAAACTTTTAATTCATCTAACTATTAATTTCCTTTATGCTACCCAAATTAGGAGAAGCTTAATCTTAAGCATAACACCATAATCCATCCTTTACAATTTTAAATTTTATATTACTCCTGGTTATCCTCCTACTAAGACTTATCTAACAGCTGCTTATTAAAATGATGAATCCTTTCTTGATGCTGATTATGACTTCTTTGTAATTGTTGAAACAGATTAATCTATTTTTTTTGTTGATGCTGACGGTGGCTTTTGTTAATTCATTATAAAATTAATATGTAAAAATCACTTACTCCTACTTCTGATATTAAATATAATTGTTCTCAAAAAATACATCTACTTAAATAAAAAAGAAACAAGGATATGTTAAATTAAGCTATTTAAGATTTGAAAAATCCATTTGATCCTTTATAAGTTTCGAAAGCATTGAAATTTTTAGAAAATCAAATGTAAAGAAAAGCTTTATTAGATTAAATCATTTATATAAGAGAATAAAAACGTAAAAAGGAAGAGTTTGATAAGATGTCTTCTATGAGAGGAATACTTAATAAAGTTTCTAAAAGATTATCAATTGTAAAAAATTAAGAAGTTAAATACACTAGAGATCATAATGATTTTAAAATTATGTAAGAAGAAAGAAATAAATTTGACAAACTTTAATATGAAAATTTAAATATATAAGTTAATGAAAAAAGACCATAATTAAGAAGATTATCTAGTTTAAGTTTTTTAACTAAAGAGACTGATCAAATAAAATTCTAAGCAGAATCAAATAATGATTAAAAAAGTATGTTTGCTCGTAGATAAACTTAAAGAAATGCAACATTAATGGTTAATGCAATTTTAAAAAAAGAAATGTAATATAATTATTATTATATACTTTTAGACCTGTTAGTCCAGGTAGTTCAGAAAAAATGATAGGAAATAAAATATTCAAGAAGTTAGTATCTTAAGATTAAATTTTTGAATGAACAGTAAATTATGAATGTTTATTATTTTTATTCTTAGATTAAAACAGTCTATTATTTAATAAATGAATTTATTCAACATACATATATAAAACATAAATATCATAGATTGAATTCAATATTTTGAAATTCTTAATTAAACTTTTATATGAGTGCTTTATCTTATTATTAAGCATTTAAAGATTCTTATATATAATTATTATTTACCTAAATTAATATCTTCAGATTCAAAAAATCTTAAATCTAAAGGATCATTTAAATTTAATTTCCATGTTTAATTAGTTTTTCTAAGTAATTCTCCAAAATTAATATCTTTTAACCATTAATGTGACTATAAATCCAAGAAATCTCTTTTATATCCCAATCTTTCTTTTGGATCCTTTTTTAAAAGATTTGTTATAAAATCTTTACATTCAATTGAGATTGCAATATTAGTTGAAAATCTCACTTCTCTTTCTTAGATTGACTCAAATAATTAACTTTGATTATCACAATAAAATGGAGTGATTCCAAATATTAATTCATATACTAATATTCCTAACATCCACCAATCAATCATTCTATTATAACCTATTGCAGTAATCATTTCAGGAGCTATGTATTCTGCAGATCCTGTAAAACTATAAGATAAATGATTATTTGGTAATTATTTACATAATCCTAAATCTGTTAATACTATATAACCATAAGAATCTATGAGAATATTTTCAGGTTTCAAATCACGATATAAATAATCACGATCATGCATATAACCTAAAGCTAATATTAATTATGCAACTATAAATTTAACTCTTTCTTCTTTTAATCTAGTCTCTTTCTTTAAATGTGTATATAGATCTCCTCCTTAATAATATGGTAATACAAATATTAATAAATGATCTGTTTCAAATGCTTATACTAATTTAATTATAAATGGATGATCAAATATCTCTAAGAGTTTTCTCTCTATTTAAGCATGATTTAAATGATCAGTAGTAATAACATCCTATTTCTACATTAATTTGAAAACATAATATTTCTCTGATTTTATATGTTAAACAAGGATTACTTATCCTAACATACCTTAATATAAATATTTAAGTAATTTATAATGTTGATTGTAATCATAAGTATTTCTTATTGATTATTTTTAATTCTCTTCACTAGATTTCAATGTTGAAAAATCAAAATTGGATAGAGTTTATGGATCAATATTGATTGGATGTCCATGCATTCTAAAAATACCTTTCTTAGCATCCACTTTTGTTGTAGTATATGGAATCAGTGTAAGATCATCAGTAAGATAAATTGCCAAACTCTTTTTTAAAAGTTTTTAATAAGCATCAGAAAGTGTAGACAATATTTTCTCTCGACTATTTTTTATATTAAATATCTCTTACAAATCTAATGAGGAATATCTATAATCATATTCATCTGGTACATGAATAACAAATTCAAATCCACATTTACTTATAGTAACACCAGCTATATATTATATTGCTATTTTTCTAAAATATTTTTATTCAAATGTAATACCTTTTCACTCTAACACTTGAAACTACTTTTGAAAAGAAATTTACAAGTGTACTTTAAGGAGTTATATTGTATATATTCTTATTAGTTATTAACAATATTCTTTCTTATTACTTATTAATATGGCTAAATTTCCATAAACAAGTAGAAAGTAGTATTGATTCTATATTAAAATATTAATATCTTACCACCAGATTCTAATATACTAAGAATTCTTGAATCTTTAGCACATTTTTCTCTATCCAATTTTTATGATTAATAGTTCATTTTAATTAAACTATTTTTCAATTTTCATTCATTAATTTATTCATAATATATTAAAATAAACAATATATATATGGATACTCATTATTCAATAATTTATATAATCAATAATATTAATTTAGAAAGTATTGTATTTAATTATTTAATAATATGAAATAAAACATAAATTTTGGTTGTATAATTTATAAATAAGTATTTATTAAATAATAAACCCCCTTCTTGTAAGAAATTGAATATAATGTAATTATGGTTAGAATATTTCATTCAAATTCCATCTCATCATTAGAATTTTCTTGTTCACTATCAGAATTCTCATTATAAACAATCTAGTATGGATTTTGGACACCAAGATGAACTCTTCTGATATAACAATAGAATCTATTTTTGACCATATTTTCCTAAAGATTAATATATAAACATACAGGCCTCCCTTTAAGATGAGAAGAAATGAGACTCCATTTTCCTCCATATTCCTAATACAATTTGATGATGGTTGCATCTTCAGCTTCAGTCCAAGGTCCAGTATTAATTTCAGGGTCGATTTTATTTATATAACGTTCTCTTATTTATTTACTCAAAATACCCGGAAAGTCTAAGGCACTATAGTTGAATTAATTTTTACGTAAAGCAATTAATTTCCAATTTTTTCCATGTTATTATACTAATTCAAGGATTTTTTCATCTTCTACTTAAGTCCATTATTTTCTTTTAATCTATAAATAAATACAAATATATTACAATCTTGACTGGTTGCAATCTTCTCCATCTTTAACAACATTAAGAAACATTTCTTCCAGGCATATGCTTGGCAATTTCATTCCATTTTCCATTGTGTTTTTCATATTATATACGTAATTGAGCATCTTCAGTGGCATCCCAAAGTTTGAGTACTCTTTTCTAATAGAAATAGAACTGAATAATTACTTTTCTAGTTACAGTTTGTTCTTTTTTTGCACTTTAGTCAATTTCTTCTTGCATAGGTTAGTAGTTTATTCCTTCTTCTTATAACATGTAGTCAGAAGGCTATTGAGTAGATGGGATATCACTAGAAGATTGGAAACTAATGATTTAATAATGTATTTATACTCTAATTGTTCAATATAGTATTGGTTGTCTAATTGAAGGTATTAATCCGTTTCTATAATATCATTTTCTAAGATTTAACTCTACGTATTCTCAGTTACTATAGGTTAAATAGACATAGTTTGAGCTGGTTTTTAGATAGGTCTATTGGCTTTATCAGGCTTCTCACGATTAGAAAAGCAACAAATCGATTAAAAGAAATTAAGCATAATAATTAAATTATTTTCAAATTTCTGCGAATAAGAGATTAAAAGTTCTCTTATTCCAATTTGGGAAAGTTCCATCTGCATAATCTGAAGGTCCTGGTTAAATCTTTTTAGGCACGCTTAAAGCAAATCTTTCCTCCTATTAGAAAATATTAACAAATTATAAACCTTAATCAAAAAAGGAGGCTAATCTTTTTTTCTCTTTTTGAATAAATTAATTGAATTAATCTACGATTTATTCATATATATAGGTTCATCATCATCTTCTTCACTTTCCTCTTTAATTTTCCATCTTTCCTCTCCAACACCAAATGGAGGTTTATATATAGCTAATTTTGGATTATCCTCTTCTGTTTTTACTATTCTTTTCTCAATTGTATGTTAATCTACATGATATGTGACAGGTGAAGGATTTCTATCTGCAATAATTAATTCTTAAATTTTTGGAATATTATTTAAAAAACTTGCAGTGCCTTTCAATCCATTTTTATATCTTCTATCATCATCCATAATTTCATAAGAACCAGGTCCAGGTACTTCAATTTTTGGATCCTTAAATCTATGTTCATTTTTTCCAAACTAACCTAAAGGTGATTTGACTAATTTAGATATTAATCTTTCTTCCATTGTATTGATTACTTTATAATTTCCTGGTGGTGGAGTCTCAGATAATTTATCATCGAAACGATTTCTGCTTCCAATCAAAAAGGGTGGTTAAATTACTTAATGTTTATGTTATACTACATCTACTTTGTAACTTCCTGGACCAGGTATTTAATTTGATTTAGCTAGAAATCTTTTAGCTCTAGATCTTATTGAACCTTTGATCTAAGATTATTTAAGACTTTAAGATATTGTTTATTATGTTGAAGCATTTTCATAATATCCAGGTCCAGGAGTGGCATCCTAATATTAATAAATATAATACTTCTATATAACTATATTCTGATTCAAGGTCAGAATCTCTTGCTGTTGTACCAGAATTAGTAGAAAGATGAAAACTATATGATTTATTATCTAATCCTTTTTTGATATGTCCACAATTATTTTTAGGATTTAGAAATTTCAATTCTGAATATCTACTTAATTTTGAACTAAATGATGTTGTTGGTTTCATTTAATACATTGGCTAAGAATTAGTAATAATATCATAATAGCCAGGTCCAATATTATTCTCAATATCGATATTTTTTTATTTTGAATTAGATTTGTGCCAGGAAACTCCTCTTGGTTTTTGGTTACTAAAGATACTTTTGACATCATAAGAACCAGGTCCAACTTCTTAAGATAAATTTATTGCATTTTTTTATTCTAAATGTGATTCTAAGAATTAAAGAGAAAGGTTTAACCTTAATTTTCTTAATAACCTAAGTGATAATTAGATGGTATAGATGGTATATTAATGTATTTGTTATCTTTCACTAATTATTCCATAACATTTATTTTAGGTTTCGGATTTGTTTAACTTACAGAATAGAACTTTTTACGTTCTTCTTAAAAATAATAATTAGGACTATATATTAGATTAAGTTAATATACCCTGGTCCATTTTATTTGTCATCTTTAAATCTCAATGTACTTGATCTGAATACCGATATAGGTTTTGGCATTTCTAAAATCTTGATTTCTTATTCATCTGATGAGAATATAATTTTTTAAGTTTCAAAAGATCCTGGTAAATTATATGATCCAGGACCTGGTCCTTTTGTTAGTTAATTTTAATTAGGGCATTTTTAGACCGTTGAATTAAATGGAAATAGATTTGGTTTTTATTCAGAATCTTGGTTGTATTCATATTATCCAGGTCCAACATTTTCAGTCTTTGGAATATATGAAGGTTTAATTTCACTTCTATATACAAATGCCATTATAATTTTATTATATACTCATTAATTAGAATTACTCTTTTTAGTAAGTCTGAAAGTTCTTAATTGTTAAGGTAACACAGTTTCATTATGTACTGGTTAATCTTTTGGTTATTGTAATCCTTCCTATACTTTCCAATCTAAAATATAGATATAATTTACTTAATTTTTTGTCTAACCATTCAGTCCATAATTGATTACCTGTAAGAGTAGTTTCTACTATTTAAAATTAATCTAATTCTGGCACTTAAAATGTTCCTTCTTCTCCTAAATTATGAATTCTATAAATATATTAATCAACACCAATAGTTTATAAATAAAATTTTGTTATAGCTTAACCATTTGGTGTGAACATTTTTTCTAAATCTCTTGGATATGTTATTTTAAAAGATTTAACAGGTTAAGGAAATACTTCATTTTTGCAATTACTAAATATAAGAATTGGCTTTAAATCTTAAAGATATTACAATTATCTTGCTTAATTTGGTAAATTATTTTTATTAAAAAATGTTAATGTATGTTAAAAGTTCTAATTTAATCCTCTACCATTAGATTATTTTTCATTTAATGGTTCTCCAACTCCTCTTGCATCATCCTTTAATAATCTTCTATGAATCATTAATTCTAATTCTCCTGAATGTAAACTTGTTCCACCTTATGATCTATCATTTAGAATAGCTGCTACTTCTCCTGTTTGATTATTTTAGATTTATAAGATTCCATTAACTGGATAATAATTACCTGCTATTGGTTAATTTACTTCTAGATCCCAAGTAGGTCTATAATTTAATTTCCTTTATTACATTCTCATACCACTACTATCTGTATAAAATGTATCATCATTTTATATATCTGTTGATATAATCATGACAACTTCTTTTCCATTTTCTTTTTGTATTGGTATATCTGTTATATATGATTCTATTTCATATGTATCATCTATATGTTATAATTTCTTAATTTTTGTATATACTTAATCTCTTTCAATATAGAATATTTAGATTAGTCTACCAATATATAATTTATGATTTTTAATTTCTCCAAATTCAATAGAATCATCATTAGGTCTAAAAATATAAGCACCACTATATTATTTATCTTCTGATGAAATATAGTATTTATATGTTAATTTAAATTATTTTGAGTTATTAAGTGAAATATAATCTTATGAACTATTGTATTTTAAGGATTCTTATTAAGGTTAAATTATAATTGCACTTGGATTTTCTTGATTTGGTAATATTCTAAAATATTCAATAATTTATTTTGGATTTCGATTATAAATGAAATACAATTCACAATCATCATCATTATTAATACATATTATATCACCATTAATAATTTTATTTGTTTAATCATAGATAATCAAATTTAATTTAGGTACTTTAATTCTTACATAATCTTATAATGGAATATTCTTATTATCAATCATATTAATTTAAACAGCATTACCATTCTTTAATTATTCATAAACAAGTTGACAAGAAGATGCAGTTTAATTAAAATTACATTCCTCAAATACTATTTAAGATGTTTCATCTTGAATTTCAAATTCAATTAATTCTTTCATTATTTAATATAATTGTTGACTAATCTTATGATGTCCATTACATAACATTTCAATATAATCATTTGTTACATGTTATTTAGCTGTACCTGTAACTGCATCATGATGTTAATTAGTTGCTAAAGCTTAATCTAATATTTATTAAGCATCTATTATTTATTAACGATTCACTTAAATATATTAAGATTTTCCATTTAATAATAGAGTTGATACAAATCTTCTTTAAATTTAAGCAAATCTTCCTAATTATTTTATTAATAATTTTAACGATACTCTACTAGTGAAATATCCTGTCCAATAAGCATTAGGTCTATCAGCATATGGCATAAAATCATCTGTTTTTGTAGGATATTATTAATTTAATTAATTAATAGCTTATAAATATTAAGATGGAGTAGAATACATTATTTACATATTGTATTTTTACTTATTTGAATTAATATATTTGATTAAACGATCTATATTTGTATAATACATTTATGCATTAGACCAACCAAAATCTGTACCTAATGTATGCATTAAGATATTTCCTATATAACTTTAGTGTTATGATTTAAAATAATCCACTAATACTTCTGCTCTTTTATCTACATTATAATGTATACTATTTTAATTATCTACAATTGGATCTTGAGAATGTAAAGAATCAAAACTAAATTATGGAGGTGCTTCATAATGATTATAATTTATATGAGTAAAGATGGAATATTAATCAACTATTGATATCAATTCCATCTTCTATTATTATTTTCTTAAATTCATATCTTAATAATCAATACGACTGAAAAACCAAGCATCAAAACCCATTAGAGCAAATAACTCAGCTTATGCAGAAGTATGACCAAAAGGATCTAATTACCATCCTATAGTTGGTTTTATTTAGAATCTATCTAATATCCATTAATGTCCTAAAGTCATTTAATCTATTATATCTTCATAATATGCAGTAGCTTCATCATTCATACACCAACCTCCATTTATAAATTCTAATTATCCATTTTTAATTAAATATTTAGTCTTATTTCTCACATCATCATTTTATTCATCCCACCACCTTTTTTTAGTTATTAAACAAATTACAATTTAAAAAAGGCAATTTCAACTTAGATAAACTTTTTAGTTTAATCAAAGAATAATGATCTTACAACACTATCTATAGTGTATTATATTCCTGCCCATTAAACTTTATTATTTAAACCATAATAATATTCTTCATAAGTTTTGAGCCATCCAACATCATCATGAGAATGAGGTATCAAATGAACATATATCATATTTTCATCGTTTTTCTCAATGTTGAATCTTTTAGTTTATCCCACTAATAAGTTTTCTCTTAAATTCTTAGAATATACAGATAGCTATAAAGACAAAAACGCTATAATAAAATACATTAATAATAATAATAATATAAAATGAACATCTTATATATATGAATAAGCTAAAATATCAATTATATAAACTTCTAGTTCTCAATTAAGGAGATGTTAATAATTTCTTACTTTTTAAACTAGAATAACTTTTACACACTTTTTTCTTTTTAAATTAATCGTCATCTGAATCTTCATCACTTGAATCATCATCCTCTTCATCACTACTAGATTCAGATTTTGTAGTTCTAAGCATTTTCTTTTCCAAATCAGAAGGATCCTCTGGATGTACAAAATCTAAAATCATTGAACTCTTTTTATCAAAAAAATATAAAGAGAGTGTAAATATGATTCCAAATAAGGATATTCCAGAAAAGAATAATCCTACATTTGAATATCCTTATTAAGGGTCCTCTGATATTTCTACTATATAGCCTGCTATTATTGGAAAGAACGCCAAGGCAACACTTTCAAACATTCCTAATAAACCAAATGCTGTTCCAACAACCTTTTCTGCAACAATATATTAAATAGATGGAATTAACACACATGAATATAAAGCATAACTGGATCCTAAAAACATCAAAGGTATAACAGAAAACCAATTAGGTTATCCATGTTAACCATTTGGCATCATTCCAAATGTAAAATGAGTTAGAGTAAATAGAACACAGGTTATTAAAATGAATTTTCTTCTTTTTCCTACTTTGTCTATGTATGGCCCAAAAAAGGGACTGGTGATTGCTAAATTGTCTCAAAAATACCTGCCATTAAATATGGGATAGTCAACACTTTTCCTGCTTAAACATTCGTAAATTCAAACTTTTCCTATAAAAAATCATTGGCATCATCAAGAAATGGAGTATAAGATCCCAATGTTAAAGTACATATTAATACTAATATCCAAAATGTTCCATTTAAATTTTTAATATCTTTAAATGATACTCTCTCAATATCATCCTTTTATTATTCACCTTCTTCACCTTCTTCTTCTTCTTATTCTTCAATTATAAATTAACCCTCTACTTATTATAAATATATACTCAATTTATTTAGTTCATTCTTTTTATCCAATATACATAAGACTACTGCACACACAAATGAAAATATACATAGAATCACACTAAAAAATAATGGATATGTCAATCCCTAATATGATTCATAAAGCATAGGAGTAAGAAATGAGTTAGCAGCACTAGCTAATTCAGGTACTGTCATTATGTAACCAATTGCCTTAAATATAAATTTGAATTATTAAATACAGTTGATAATTCTTTTCCTCTAAACCACTTACAGATTATAGCTGCTTATGCAATCACTAAATTTTCAGATGCACATCCAAATATGATTCTTCCAACTAACATAATCCAAAAGATTTTAAATGCTCCTCCCAATGCTACAATCGTTTAAGCTACTACAACTATTGCACTAAATAGAATGATCCCAAATCTTACACCTAAAATTGATATTCACATATTACCCAAAAAATCTATAATAAATCCTCCAATCAAAGTTAAAAATATATTTGGAAATGAGAATGCAGAATATAATAAGTTATAATTTGATATTGATATATCTAAATCTTATGTTAATTATTTTTGAAGTGCTTATGGATTATCAAATGAATAATTGTTTCCAAACATTAATAAACACCCAAGTATCATTATTACATATTTCAATTTAGACTAATTTGGTTCATCTTATTTCATCTCTTCATCACTTATCTCACTATCCTTTACGATAGTTTTGTTGATATCATCAACCTTCATTCTAAACTTTAATTATTGATTTTACTCATAAATTAAATTCTTGATTATTAGTACATTCATCAATAACATAATATAATACTCTCTAAATTAGTCAAATTTTTAAGCTATAATAATACTTGAATGTTAACCTATAATCAAATTATAATTAATTATTTATGCATTTGAGTCCTTCCACCTAAAAACGAGATTCTCCAAGTGAAATCCTCAGAGCAAGAATGGAAAAGAAGCCAAGTGGTAGATTTACTTTTCTTAAAACATAATAAGAAGACTCTAATTAATAATAGATACAAAATAACAGAGATCGTATAAAATTTAATTTAAAGGGTATTACATATAAATAACATGTAGGTTAGATTTTGCATATTTTAAATAAGCCATAACCTGTTACAAAGGATCAAATTGAAGAATTGCAAGATTTAGGCAAAAAATTAGATATAGAAATTAATTCAATTGATTCTGAATTCATATGTCCAAATACAAAAGAATTTCATTAGAATTATGATATTTTAGAAGTATTGGGAGAAGGATGTATAGGATTAGTTAAAAAGATTATTCATAAAACGACTTAAAATCTATATGCTGTGAAGATTGTATAGACTTAAGATGATGAAATAATTAGAAATGTAATAAAACATTAAATTTTAGATGATAATTGAGTTTAAGAGTTTAATTAAATTGTCACATGAAAATATTGTTAAAGTACATAAATTATATGTTGATTTTGATAACAGCTTCTAATCTGAAAGTAAAGCATATGTAGTAATGGAACTGATTGAAGGATAGGAAATGTTTGAAGTCTTAAATTCTTTAGGTCATTATTGTGAAGCAGATGCTAAAGAAATCTTTAAATAATTGTTAAGTGCAATTGAGTATATGCATAGAAACGGTATTTGTCATAGAGATTTAAAACCAAATAATATCCTTTGTGTAAATAGTAATAATCATTTTGTTATAAGATAAAAAGTAAATCAAAGTGACTGATTTTAATGTTAGCAAATTTAGTGATTCATATAAAGAATTTGGAGATTTAAAAGATAGAGAAAAAATTGAAATGTGGACATATACTGGAACAGTTGCTTTTTCAGCTCCTGAAATATTTACAGGAGAAGGATACAAGTAAATAATGTTGTGTATAAAAATATTAGTTAAATGGTTGATATGTGGAGTGCAGGTTGTATTTTATATTCAATGTTATCAGGATAATTACCATTTAATGCTGATTAGTAGATATTTATTTAATTTTAGTCTTAATGATTTAATAGATAACATAAAAGAAGCTAAGATAAACTTTCCCATTGAATTATTTGAAGGAGTTTCTGAAGAAGCCAAAGATCTAATTACTCAATTATTGTAAAAGGACTGGGCTTTCAGACCTCATCCTGATACTGCTTTAAAACATGAATGGTTTAGTGAAGATTAAAAGTTATTAGAAAGTCAAAGAAGTCTTTTGAAAAGATTAAATCATCGAAAAAATGATCCTAGATTAATTTTAAAATAGAGACATAATAAAAGATAATAATCAATTTTGTTAGGTTCTTAATAATTGATAATTAATCTTCATTCTATGGAATTATAATAGGAAACTCGTTTGCAAGAAACCTAACAATAAGTGTCAAATATGTGTTCTATGAGATTAGATTCCTATCCAAAGAAAAGTTAATTCAGTTTTACTGCTTATAAGGTACCTGAAAATGAACTCAGTATTTATTAATATATGCCTCCATCTTCACCAGATAAAGAAAATGAAATAGAAAAAGTAGGATTTTTTTAATCTGGACTGTTGGATCCCCTAATGCAAACATCAGACAGATTGAATGGAGATGAAAAAATTAAAAATCTCGAAGATAATTCTGATTAAGCTTGTTGATATTATAAACCAGCAAATAAACTATTTATTTTATTTACTAAATTAATTTAATAATACGCAATATGCAACATTTATTTATACTACAAAATATCTTTATATTCTAGATTCAAAACTATCCAATATATCCTGCATTTTGATTAATAAAAACATCCAGAAATCAACATGACACTTTTTGAATAATTAGGAGGAGAAGCTGCCGTCACAGCAGTCACAACATAATTCTATGCTAACATCCAAGCTGATGCCACAGTTGCCAATTTCTTCAATGGAATCAATATGGCTGACTAAACAAACAAGACAGCTTCATTTTTATGTGCTGCCCTCGGAGGACCAAAAGCTTGGGGAGGAAGAGTAAAAAATTACATTTATATTAAATTAGAACTTAAAAGAAGTCCATGCCAATATGGGAGTCACAAACGCCCAATTCACAACTGTCATTGGACATTTAAGAAGTGCCTTGACCTCAGCTGGTGTCGCTGCTGATTTGGTTGAATAAACTGTCGCTGTTGCTGAAACAGTCAGAGGAGACGTTGTCACCGCCTGATTAATATCATATATCATGCACATATATCCAACAGCATCTCTATTCAATTTTTTTCAATTTTATTTTTTCATCAACTCCAAAAAATTTAACATGTTTACTAATTTATACAAAGAACTGCACTACTACTTTATTGACTCTATTCTCATACATAGAAGATACTCCCTATTAATTATTAACATCTCATATAAGTTTTAATAAGGAAATATGAAAACCTAGATTATTGTTTAAGATTATAATAATTATTCAGAAATCTAAACCCCATTCTAGATATCCAAATATTCATCAAAAAATAAATTTAGATCATGATATTTGTGGGTTAATCAACTTTTGAATTGTTGCTGCAATTCAAAATTTTCTTTTTTTAGTATTTACAAAAGAATTGATGAGATACATTTAACTCATCATTAGATAATCAAAAATGATATATTTAAGGAATTTTTAGAGGGATAAATTTTTACTTAATTATTTTCAAATATATTATTACAATCATAAGCCGCGTGTATATTTATCATAATTTAATAAATTTTGATAATTAATATTTTTCTAGAGTACTCAGTTGGTTTTATAAAGCATAAGTTCAGTAGATATATAGAAATGATTACATTCATTCATTTATTTCTGAATTTAATATAAAATACTTTATTTATTTACTTAAAAATAAAGAAATAATTCATAATATTTTTTATATAAAATAATTAAATTGATGGATTAAATAGATTTGTAAGATATGAGAAAGAAGCTTCATGGATATAAAAAGGTTGGAAAAAAATAAGTCATTAGTATTTTAAATCAATTGGAGGATCCAAAAATTGATCAAAAGTATGATTTTTTATATAATTTAGAGCCCTTGCTGAGTCCAAAATACTCAAAACTGTAAGGACACTCTCTTAAATTGAAATAGATGGAGATTCTGTTTTAAGTGAATAAGATTGTAGGCAAATCAAAGAAAAAGCCACAGAAACATTATAGAAATTAAAGAAAAATGAGAAGTCTGTGCCTCAAGAAAAGGTACCTGTGATAACTGCAACTCCGGACAGAAAGTAATCTGTGGATGTTGCAAATACAAATCCAAATAATTAAAATGATTTTATAAACTAATTGGGGCTTCCTTAAAATTTTGATCTTAAGCGATTGAAAGTTTTGTAGACCATAATTCAGAAATTCTCAAATGAATCTACTCCTTCATAAGAAAGCATTACATTTTGTAGAAAATTGGAAAACGAAGTATATCATTTGAGTTTATGTCAGATTAGCATGAAGTTTAAAGATAAAGAAAGACAATATTAAACAGCCATAAGAGAGATTCTGAAATACTTACAAAATGATAAGGATGGAAGTGTTCGTAATAGATTATTAACAGGATTAATTGACATACCTACAGCAGCATAATTGAGATCAGAGGATTGGACAAGTGCAACTGTATTATATGGATATAGATATTATAGAGATTAGCCATAGCAGGAGGAGTAGGCAGAGAAATTCTATCAGCAAATGATATGAATCATAATAAATATATAGCTTAAGCAATTAATAAGGATGTTGCTTTGGGTTTATGCAATAACTGTGGATAAAAATAAATGAAATTAGTCAATGAAATATAAACTAGAGCAAGTGATGAACCTTCGACAAAATTTTATGAATGTTTGAATTGTGGTGTTGGAGAAACTACAAATGGTTGATTTTATAAGATATTGAATATAAATATAGTAATAAACTTAACCAGAGACATTTATAATATTAATAATGCATAGTGCAACATAAGAAGAATTAAAATCAAGGGCAAAATAGAATGAGATATCATCAGGAGAAGAAGAAATGTTATCAGATTCAGGAGATGAATGTGATCCTGAAAATTACAATTTTTATATGTCACAAGTTGATTTTGCTGCATTGGCTAATGGGATTAATTAAGATGATTAAAAAGGATAGGAAATTAATTTAAGAGAAAGAGTTAGCACTCAATAATTAAGATAAGAAGTCAATTAAGTGAATCAACATATTAGTGGAAATCATTAAAATATAACGAGTGTTCCTAATCCAATTAAACTATTGGTTTCCAAATAGAAAAGAAGATACAATTACAATGGATTTAATTTAGATTTGACATGTATTCTTTAATCATTATATTAGATATCACTGAAAAGATTATTGCTATGGGTTTCCCTGCAGAAAACATAGAATCTATATACAGAAATTCAATGTAGGATGTTAGAAGATTTTTCGATTCAGTACATCCAGGACATTATAAAGTCTATAATCTTTGTGAAGAAAGAAAATATGATCATTCTAATTTTAATTAAGTAGCAGAATTTCCATTCCAAGATCATCAAGCACCCACTTTCTCTCTTATTTATGAATTCTGTCTTGATTTAGTATTTAATTTTATATTATATTTAGGATAATTGGCTAAAAGCTCATGACAAAAATGTTGCTGGAATTCATTGTAAAGCAGGAAAAGTAATAAATATTTATAAAGCTAAAGGGACGTACTGGTGTCATGATATGTTGTTATATGCTTTATGCAAGATAATTCACCAATGCTTATGATTCTATGAGATATTATGGTATGATAAGAACCAAAAATAAAAAAGTAATATTTTATTAAACTTTTCAAGGGTGTCACTATCCCTTCACAGATTAGATATATCTTTTATTTTGAAAAAGCTCTCAATAATAAGTGGGTTCCGGATAACATGCCAAATAAATAAGTTGAATTGGTTAAAATCAGATTGATTCCAGTACCTAATGTTAAATTCTTGGGAGGTTGTGCTCCTTGGTTTAGAATTTAAAATAGAGACAAAGAGTATAATTCTAAAAATTAATTTCCTGTTAAAGAATATAAATTAGAGCCATATATTGAATTTAAACTCAAAGACATTATTTTATAAGGTGATGTTCTTTTATAATTCTTAAATTAAGGATTTTTCTCTAGGTATGTAAAATAATTAAATTTCTAAGCAGTGAGAAACTCTTTCAAGCTTGGTTTAATTGTGACTTCTTTGATTATACGGGTGTCCTCATGATAGATAAATTTATGCTAGATAAAGCATGCAAAGTATTCATTTATTTTCACATTAGGATAAATCTGGTAAAACCTTTTAAAAAGATTTTCGTATTGAATTACATGTAGTCGAAGTTAATCAGGATAATAAATCACTACAATCTGTTTAAAATTATACAAATAATTAAATTACTCACAAAAACTTTGGATTTTGATCATTATATCTATTTCGATAAAATTAAAACTAAATTAAATAATATTCAAATGTAAAAAAAAATTCAATACTCTGTCAATATGCTCATTTTTTAATTTAAATTAAAATAAAATTTCAAGATGAATTATTATGACTTTCAATTTACTAAATAAATTTTGTCCTTTTTTACAGAAGTTTGAATAATTTTACATTAAAAGAACTTTGCCATTTACCTGACTATTTAAATATTATAAAAAATATCAACTATTAAAATCTATAATTATTAAGGAATTTTGTGTAAAGTAAAATTAATTTAGAATATAAATTTTTAAGATAATAATTATTTCTAAATTTTTTGTAAAGAAAACTTTTAATTTTTCAGAATTTATCATAGATATTTTATTAAATTATTTTATTTTAATAACATCTAGGTATTATTTTTAAATGAAATTAGAATAGTTCTTATACTTATAAATTTACTTAATTGTAAAATTTGAAAATTAAAAACTATATTTAATAGTTATATACAAAATTTATATAATATATCAACATAATGACATAATGTTCTGTTGATACTAAATACACACTCCTTACTAGAAAAGAATTAATAAAATCTTAAATAAACAATATAAATAAAACTTGATTTTACTATTAATTGTATATATTTGCTTTTACATAAATATACATATTATATAGAATCACTTTTTTTTTAATATTTTATCATAATTAAACATTGCCAAAACTAACCCAAATATTAATAATGGTGCAAATACCTAACCTACCTTATTTTATTCTTTAGATTGGGTTTCTTTCTTAATAGCAAATACAATCTACATATAAATAATATTTTTACTGGTTGAGCACTTATTTATCTATTAAGCAATTAAATCTTAGATATTTTTTATTCAAAGTTTATCTACTTGTTGACACTTTCTCCTTTTTCTTTAGTTTTCTCTACAGTTAATTATAATTTTAGAGTTTTTGCTTCATTGGTTTCTACTTCAAAATAATTTTAAAAACTTAATGTTCTTCCTTAAATTTACTCTAAAAAATAAATGAAATATATTACCATCCAAATTATCAAACACTTTAAATGATTTAATGAAATATAAATTTTTCTCAGTTTAAGTGAAATCTCCATCAAAGACAATTTATCCAATCAATCTAAAATGATCAAATGATTTTTCATCAATATCTCCATTTAATAATTCTTCCTATATTTCATCAACCTATATTTATTCTTTTTCTAATTCTTTATCTTACTTCTCATCATAAGTTTAATCATAATCTTAATTATTAGAATTACTATTAATATATTCAATATGTTAATCTATTTCTAATTATTCTTATTATTATTCAACTTTATCATTTTAATTTTAATTCTCTTCTTATTGTTGTTGTTATTATTATTATTATTATTCCTATTGTTTTTATTCATATTATTATTATTGTTATTATTATTATTATTGTTGTTATTATTGTTATTATTATTATTTTGGCTCTTCAACAGGTGCTCTTTTGATAGAGAAATTCAATTATTTATTACAAAATGAGCTTGCCTCATCAAATGTTTTTGATTGGAATTTTAAATTAATTTAACTTGGACTGGCCATAAATCCTTTAACTTTAGGTTAAATAAAGATAATGTAATCGATTAATGGAGTACCATCATCTTCAATTTCTATAGAATAGAATCCATTTTCAGATATCTCAATATAATCAATGAATTAGTTGTTTGATCCTAAAAGTTTCATTTCAATTTGATTCACATTTATATCTTATTTATCTGCCTTTAGAATTCGAATGAAACCACTACATATGATTGCATCTTAAGCTACTACACTGACTAGGATTACCAATCCAAGTATTATTTTTATCATAAATATATATTATTTTAAATTCAATAAAAATAATATATTTAGTCAGGACTAGCGAAGATATGTTCATCATAATAAGCAGATGTCCCTATCAAATTTCATCATATTCATTATTTAATTAACTAATACTTCATTTAATATACCTTTTCTGTATTTAAAATTTATGGGATTATATATTAATTTATGCAGCCAACTCCTTTAAGGGGTAGAAAAAGTTTATTCGATTACTTGCTCTAAAGACGCAGTTTAAGTTCTATGTCCAAGTCAAAACGTCTTAGTGGAATATATATTGAAGGAATTAGAGCTCCTCTTGATTCAAGAATTCAAAAAACAAAACAACATAAACTATAAATTAAAACCGAATATACAGATTATTTTGTTTTTGAGACTAATGAAAAAACAAGCATTCCTCTAACTAAAATAAGTACATAAAGATAACCTGCTATTTATAATTTACAATTCGCAATTAATAAACGACAAACTAAATTATAAATGATTGATAGAAAACCTTGCAAATCGTTTTATACCCTCTAAGTTTATTCAAAATCTTAGGACAAATCTGAGGTTAGATAATTCAAGTGAGAATAATATGTATACTACTATATATTTTAATAAACTTTGTTAAAAAATTTCAAGCAAATAGTTAAATATATTTTTCCTATTTACTTTATATTATTGACAATTTCTTTAGATTTAAGCAGAAAATCATTTAGCATTTAAGTTATACTTTTCAAATGACATCTAAAAATTACATTAAATATATAGTTATTGAATTTGCTATATATCTCTGAATCATGTTCATATTTTAGTCTATGCCTAAAACAAATTAGCCTTTAGTATTAAGAATATTAATTAAAGTATAGATCATTATTCGATAAAATTTTCATAGTTGCTTTCCAATATTCATTTATTTACTAAAATTTTCTATTTATGATAAATTTCAAATTAAGTTGGAAAGTAAGTTATTTCGAAAAATCGCTGCTTGTATTTATGAGTTTCCCTTTCTGAAATGAGGAGCCATATAGTTATAATTCTTTTTGTTTTTATCTCAATTAATATTCTTAATTTTAAATAAATTGATATAGGAGACATTTTAAGGATTAAATTATGATATAAACAGAAGGGCTAAATTGCCTATTGCTAAGAAGACTCAGAATATTTAGTCTAAAGATAATCAATTTGATTTTAGAGTGAGTCTATATATTAACTTCATAAATAAAGGAGAGTTCATTCATTTTTCTTCTTTACTCTTTTCAGAGGACAGTTGGAGCCTTTGGGATGTCTTCCTATTATACCACATGAAGGGCAGAGTTTATCTTTTTTTTATTCTTACTTGGTATCTGTTAAGGAATCCATGGTTTTAGTATTATAATTACACACATCTTCTTGATGTCCAAAACCATTACATTTTTTACATTAAACTTACTTTAATAAGTAACCCTATTTTTATTTCGAAAAGTTTATATTTGTCTATTATGATTCTTTGTTTTGAATTTTCCATTCAGTCTTCAATCCTTCAGAACATCCAGGATATAGACAGAGCAACTAAGATTTTTGTTATATAGTTGAATTCTCAGAATATTCTGTTTAAAATAGAATAGAATGGCATTTTTTACATTTTTTTTCTGTTCTCTAAATAGATTTTATATAATCAGGTAAGAATATTGCTTAATTGCATTATGGATATCCTAGACAACCAAAAAATTAAGTATTCTTTAATTTTGATTATCTTATTTTCATTTAATTATTACACTAATTACATTTGAAAGTTTCTTCAATATTGGTTGTTTTAAAAGATTTTGATTAGTAGTTAGAAGAATTATTATTTTAAGATTTTTCTTGACCTTATCTACATTTTAAGCATACTTCAAGTATTGATCCATTGATTTATTTAATTTCTACAAGTTATGTACCACATTTATTACATTATGATTAAAAGTTTGATTATTATTATTATTATTATTATTATTATTATTATTATTATTATTATTATTATTATTATTATTATTATGTTGTGTTATTTCGTCTTTATGGTTATTATAATTATTAATTTTATTATGGTAATTCTCTATTTTATGGATTATCATCATCATTATTTTCATCATAATTTTTTAATGCTTCTAAATATTATCCAAAAGTGGATATGATTAAATTTTTTTTTTATTATAATTCTTTTAGTATTCCACTCATTTCATTAATTGTTGCTTCTACTATGTCTTTTTTCTATTTCATCCCTTATGCTACTTCATTCATTCTTTATTCCATTAGAGCTCTTAAGTGTGGTTTATGTAGTGTAAATCCTAACACTTCATAGGATTCAACTAATGCTAACCCAAGTTTAGTTGGTTTGATAATTTAACCCTTTTTAATTGCATATTCTCTTTCTTAAATAGTATTAATATGTTCATGAATTGTTGCATCAGTTCCTATACCATTTTTATCCATCATTCCAATTAATTCTGCTTCAGTTAATGGTTTAGGAGGAGATGTTTTACCATTTTGAACTTTTAAATTAATTTAAATTACATCCCCTTTATTATATTTTGGAACTTATTATTAAGACCATTCATCATAAGGATAAATTTCTAAATAATTTTTTTCAGTAATAATCAAACCCTATTTATAAAAAGATTCATCTTTAACTTATAAATTAATTGTAGTTTCAGATCCTTTTGCATTTTTAGAACAACATGCTAAGAAATGTCTTGTAATTAATTAATAAATATCCCATTCTTATGTAGTTTAAGCTTCTGATTCAGACATCATTTTAACTGGATGTATTGGAGGATGAGCTTTATCATCTTTAGTACCTGCTCTAGGTTAATCAAAATTAGAATTAATTAAGTTTTATGCATATTCTCCCCAAACAGGATGATTAGTTTGATCCCTTATAATATTTTATAAGTTAATTGTAGGTGGAAATTTATTTGTTTCTGTTCTTGGATAACTAATATAACCTCTATTATATAATTTTTCTGCAAGTTCCATTGCTTTATGAGCAGATATTCTAAGTTTTTTTGAAGCTAATTTTTCAAATTCAATTGTTGATAAAGGAAATGGTTTCCACTTTTATACTTCTTTTTATTACACATCAGTTACTTTTGCTTATTCTGTAAAACATCTTTCAAATAATAATAATACTATCATTTCTTCAAAAATATTCCCTCTACTCCAATTATATTAACATCCTGTTTAATCTTCACATGAAATAAACCAAAACTTCTCTTTCACAAATGAATCAATCTCTTTTTATCTTTATACAACAAATCCTAATGTAGGTATTTAACATGGACCATAACTAATAATTGAAGATAAATTGAATTGCTATTATAATAACAGTGTTTGAAATCTAGTAAAAGAAGCTCCTATTCTAAGATCGATTTCCTATCTAGCAAGTACAGAATTAGATAAATTTTCATCTGGCTATTTTAAATTCTCTAATGCCTAAAATATATTATGATGATTATAAATTACTTTCTTAATGTCAACATAAGTAACTGCTGAAAAATGAGCTCGATGTACTTGAATTTATGGATTTGAATCCTTACAAACTTCTAGAACTTCAAATGCAATATTTTCACCTTCTCTATCACAATCCAACCAAAGGATTAATTGACTACATTCTTTTGCAAAACGTTATAAATTCTCTTCCAAAAATCCTAGATTTAATTTAATATGATACTCTTTTCATAAGGAATTATATTTTCAATTTCTGCATCTTTTAATATAATGAGAGGATCCCATTAATCCCATTTCTAATATTATTTAGGATATTTTAGATTCTTTAAATGTCCTGTAACAGATGTCATCCACATTTCAGCTTCTTATTCTCCAAACTTAAAATTGAATTTGAATAATTTGTTGTATTGAGATTTGGTTTCTTCTATTTTGTAATCACGAGCAAGCACAGTTGCAATAGACTTTGCAACAGATGGCTTCTCTGCAACATTAAGCACCTTGATTTTCCCTAACTATCCCTTTAAAAGAGAAACATACCTTCAGTGCAGTTTTAAATTTATTCATTAATTAAAGGAAATCTTTCAAACTTTCATATAAAAAAATCATAGCGGCATAGAGTATGTTATCATATCATAATAGAAAAGATTCCTCTTATATTTAGACACTAAAGAATGGTATATATATTAACTATATGTCTCAATATATTAAATCAATAATAAGAATGATTGATTAATTAATATGAAATATATATATGTATGTTGAATATTATACAAAATACTTAATACTTCAAATAAGTTAGACTTCTAGATTGCTCATTTTAATAAAGAATACATAATCAGAATTTTCATCGTTTTGTAATTATATTGCATATTGAATATTATTCATTGAATCTAAACATATTAAATGTTTTTCATCTTTTCTATATGCAAATAAATAGGATTAATTTAAGTTTAATTTAATTGGAGTTTTTGTTTAATTAGACAAACATTCTAAAATAATAAATTAATTAATTACCTCCTCTTTCATTGATTCCATAAATTGATGGAAATGTATTTTTTTACTTTATTTAAGTTAAATTGATCATTCCTGTTTCTATTTCATAACTTTCTACTGAAGATCTTAAATAAATATGAAATTAATGATTATCTGTTAATTTAAAAACTCCATCAACAACAGCAAAACACTCTTTTATGCTAAAGATTGTGCTAAATTTATTAGAATATTTCATATGTTTTTCGGATTTATCTATATCAAATCTTTTTGATGTGTTTTATGATATTTCTTTGATTTAATCAATATCTAAATAATTTCTTTTATCATTAGATCTTGTTAATTTTATATTTTTTTGTTCTTCATTTTATCTATCCTTATAACCTTTTAAAGGTGGAGGTTTTGATGGTGACATGGATGATTAGTGAACTATTTGATTAACTGTAGTTTAAGATTATTCAATTTAATCTTTGCTATTAATATTTTATATAATATTTTATTATTGTTAATGATCTTTGTATCCTTTTAAAGGTAATATTTTAATTTCAGTTATGATATCTGTTAGCTATTTATTATCTTAAATATTATTTTCTGATTTTTTAATATATTAAGTATCTGATTATAATTTTAAACTTTAAATAAGATCTTCAGAATTTTATTTGTTATTAGAATATTATTCAAAATGTTAATTATTACGAAATTCCTTTTATTTAGTTAATACAATATATTTTTATGATTTCTCATTTAATTTATTATTGTTATTATTTGTAGTTAAATTATATCCATTTTCTTAACGATCATTATGATTCTTTTGATGCTGTTCTCTTTATTGATTGATTTCTTGTAAAATTAATGTTTCTTATTCATTTTAAAAATCAGTCTTTAATTAAATATCCTTAAAAGTATTCTAAAAATCTATTGTATTTTTTATTATAATATCTTTTTATTATATTGGTACAGTTTCTGATTATGTATTTTAAAAATTAATAATCTATATTTTGTTGTTATTATTTTAATGATATTATAATTTTAATTCTCTTTACTTTTTATTTTCTTATATTTAATTAAATAAAGATTATTGGAGCATTTTAAACTATTCATCAGTTTTATTTAAAGACATCTTTATTTATATCTAGAGTGCATTATATTGTTATTCTGTTTAATATAGACAATCTTTAAAAAAGTGAAGTTATTCATTATCTAAATTCTAATAAATATCAATTAATTTAGAAATAGTTGTATTTTCATCAATTTAATTTGGAAGTAAGTAATCTTAAAATTGCTAAAATGATTAGATTTACTCTTTCCAATTTGTGTAAGATTCAAAAAATTTTTGATTTATTAAAGATATCAAAACATCTTCTTAATTATTCATTATTTTATGAATTCTAGCTAATAAATCTTAAAGTAAAGTTGTTTTCTTTTTGTTTAATTTAACATTAATAGTATTAATTAAATCTTCTTTCTATATTACTTCATGACCTTCATTTTAATGAGCAACAATGGATTCCCAATTTTTTAATATTCTTTCCTTTTAGCATTTTGTACTCACACAAATATAATAAGCTTCTTATAACATATAATTATTAAGTTTTTGTTTTGATATTCATTTATAAAGATTAAAACATAAGATTATCCTGTAAATATTATGAAAAGAAGTATTGTTTAATTTTAATTTAAATTAAAATGATAATTTAAACATCATATATGACTTAGTATAGGTTAGGATGATGTTCTTGTATATTTTTTTGTATCTGTCATATTTCTGATTTCAATTTCCTTAGGCTAATTTATTAAATCCTTAAAAGAGCGATAAGATCTCTTTTTATTGCCTTCACTTGAATATTATAAAGGATTAACTTTATCTTCTTTGATAGTGTCATATCCAATGATCATATCTTGGGAACCATTAGGAGATGTATATTTGCTTATATGACGACTATGTATAGCTGTTTTGAAATGGGATGGATTTTTAAATTCAACAGATTCCTAAGTAGAATGTCTCAAATTATTAACATAATAATTTTTATCAATATTTTTAGGAGTGTAGGTATGTTTCATGTTTGATTTGAATATATTCTATTTTACAAAATCATCACCTTAATATTTCAGTTAACTATCAAACAATCTAATTTAAATCATATTTTATTTTTGTTGTTCTCTTTAATGTTCTTTTTGTATCATTATTTTATATTATGATGTAAACTTATCCTCTCCAGGAGTAATAGTTACAGTTTCTGTTCTAGATTATCTAGAATCACTTTTTAAAATATCAGCATTTTTTGGATCACTAAGTAAAAACAATTTATCTTTTTTAGTCATTATTTTAAATGGATGCAATTCCTATTGAGTTTCATGTTTTTACTTTCTCAAAAGACTATGTATTTTTTTTAGATTCTAATGTGCTATTGCCTTTATGTATCTAAATTCAGGTTTGACATTATCTAAAACTCTATCTAATTCTTATTGATAATGAGTTTCAGGACCATAAAACTCAGCAAAACAATCTTATATTTTGGATGATGCCAACTAAAAATGATTGGCTGTTTCAACAATACCATTAACCATCTCTTATCTATTATTGACAACTTCAACGAAATCATTAATGATTCTTTTTGAATAAGTTATCTTATTCTTTTAAGAATAAGGTTTAGGTAATTAAATGTAATCCAAAGGATTCTTTTTCCAATACTTTTTCAGATTCACTCTAACTGGACCATCATGCCAATCATGAATTACTTATACATTTTTATTTAAAGGTTTCATAATTTTATATCACTTTTTTTATAAATGAAAAAGACTAATCATTTATAAAAAGCAATATTATATTATCTAAAAAGAGATGAACCTATAAATTATCTGAAATCCTATGTATTAAAAAATTTATGACAAAAAATCAAATGATTATCTATAATAAACTATCATTGACAATTTGGATATTTTATTATTATTTCCTTAAACATTATTTATATAATATGAAAATTTCAATAGGATCACATTTTATGATAAAATTATGTAAATCACCAAAATTATTATTAATAATTCTAAATTGATTATTAATAAATAAATGTATTAATTCACTAGGATAATTCATGGTCTTGCACTTATAAAGAGTTAAAAATAAATTAATCTTTATATAAATTGCAGATTTATTTTTCAATATAAAAATATTTCATGATTTAAAATGTAATACATTAAATAAATATTCTATCATAATAAACTTAAAACTATAAAAATACACATATATAAATATTAAATCTATAGGTACAATATATTATTGTATATTATAATATTCTTTGTTCAGAGACCTAAGAATTATTTAAATTTAAGATTATATTAAAATTAGATTCATTTTTCTAATTTGTCCTAAAGAATTTCTATTTACTTGTCTTATGTTTCTTGAATTTGTGATTACTCATTCTTCTTATAAATAATCAAATTTATAATAGTAAACAGATTATCCCTTCTATAATTCTTATATTGTAATTTGATCTTATTTATGCCATAGAATAAGTGATTTATTCTTAAATAAGTATAGAATATATGAATCATTAGATCTTTCATCGTTTATTCTGGTTGATACTTGTATTAGATGACTACTATCTCATTGATAATTTTGTAGTTTGTAGCTTATAAGATTTAGATATTTACTAAAACAATATCATATATCAAAGTCTCTAACCATTTCTCCATTAGCATACTTTAGTTTCATTATTTGCACTTATTATTTTACCTTCACCATGTTATTTACCATTTAACCAATAACCTTCGTATTTTTTTCCATTACTCCACTCCATTATACCAAAACCACTTCTTTTATCAAATTCATAATTTCCTTCATACTTTCTCCCATCTGGCCATATTTGAATTCCAGTACCATGCATCATATCATTCTTCCATTAACCTTCATAATATCTTCCATCTGCCCATGTATATTTACCAAAACCATTCATTTTATTATCTTCCCATTATCCATCATAAACACTACCATCAGGCCATTTATAAATTCCTTATCCATTTTTCATACCTTTAGAATATTATCCTTCATATTTACTCCCATCTACCCATATTTCACAACCAGTTCCATGATAAAGATCTTAATCCCAATCCCCTTCATATCTAGATCCATCTTTATGCATATAAACTCCATATCCTTGTGCTTTATCATCCTTCCAAAATCCTTCATAAATATCACCATCAACATGATAAAAGATACCATAACCATTAGCTTAATTATTTCTCCACTCACCTATATAACGAGCTCCATCTTTCCAAATTTATTCACCAAAACCATCTCTAACCTCACCTAACTATTATGATCTAATTAGATACCCAATCTCCATCATAAAGTAGATTACTATAAGACTTTTTCTTTTCTGCAATTTAATGTTATAACGATTAACTTGGTTCAAATTTCTAGAAAGGATTTTAGAGTGAATTAAACTCTTTATAAGAGTTAATACTTTAAAAGTAACAATATTAACCTTATACATCATTTCTTTGAGATTACTTTGATGATTTTTGATTATTATTATTGGTTGACTAATATATTGTTTCAGTATTATGTCTCCTTTATTTTAAGAGTTTTCTTTCGCTAATTAATTATTTTCGTATTTCATTTGATCTCTCACTCTTTGTGATCAATGTTTAATTTGGTTCTTCATATGCTTGAAAGCATTTACATTCATTTCCCATTATTTTATTTATTTACAATGATTATTACTAGTAAACACTTTCTAAATTTCCAAATTACTATTTATATTTTATAAATTTATTGATTATCTTTGAAATTCTATTCTATATCATATAATTCATAATAATTAAATACTATTATAATCTAATTTAAACATCAGATGCTACTTTAAACTTTTGTTTAAGTAATCATGTTTAATTATTAGATTATTATATACAAATAAATCAATTATTATTAATTCCAAATTATTTTAATGAAAATATGTTTTTATACAATTTACAATCTAAGTAATATCTAAATCCCTTTGAAACCTAAGTGAATACTTATTTGAATGAAATATTAATTAAATTATGATTTCATTAATTTAAAAGAAGTATTAAATAGTTTCTGTTTTTAAGTTTTTCACTAAAAAATGAGCGAAATTTATGATATCAAATATATTAATTATTATATTATACAATCAATATGGATTCATCAGCACATACAGTTAGAATATAACCATTAAGTAAAAAGAAAGAAAAAGATCCTAAAGGAAACACTAAAATTTTAAGTTCTAGAATAAATTTTGAAGATCCAACAGCATTACTTTAAACTAGAACTCTACTAGCCAATTTTATTAGGGGGAATTTAAACTCAAAAACTAATCCTTGTCCTAATCAATGAGGGAAGAGAGGATTAATCAATTTTGACTTATTACATCTATATTATTAAAAAAGTAGAGTTGAGTTTTATACATAAAATTTTATCTAAGTATTAAAGCAGAATTGTAAGAAATGATCATCTTATTAACCTTGATTGTCATTTAACAACTATCAATAATAAATAAATAAAGAAATATAAATTTATTATCAAAAGAAGAACTTTCTAACTGTCTTTTAGAAAGAACTTAAATTCTTTAATTTATTATTTTTTTTATATATTTAAATTTAGAATACTATTTTTTTAATACAATTTTTGTCTATTAAATTAAGTTCAAATACTACAATATTTATTAAGAGTTTAAGATATTTATAAATTAATAATATGATTAGTGAATATTAATAATACTCATAACCTATTTGTGTGCTCACAAATTCAGCTTTTTAAATAGCTAATTAGGAAAGACAGGTACATAATTTAAATGGATATTAATAATTTAAATCAGTTGAAGAATATTAAGACCTTGTATTTCCACTGCTCTAGAATGAAAATTATCGTTCATTAAAAAGGGAATAATTTAGATTTCTAGAAAATTTAAAAGATCGTAATTAATTTCCACTTGTTTTTGAAGTTATACTCAATGAAGATGCAGATCCTAATAGAGAGGATGGTATCATATTTGATGTGTTGAGGGAATTGAAACAAATCAATAATGAATAACCTGCTAAAAATGAATTTTGGAAATATAATCATTATGCACAATATTTAATTTTTAAACAATCATAACAATATTTTGGAGCTATTTACACTAGGAATCCAAATAAACCAAATGATTACTTTACGTCTTTAGCTATATATTAAAAGAAAAAAGATGAAACTTAATTAATATTACCCTATACAAAAGAAGTGAAGAAATTGCTTAATTTTGATAACATATTTACTAATGATGAAAAATTAATCTATTATAAAAATATATGCATCGAAAATCAACAATAATAGAAGTATAAATCCTCTTTTATTTTGGATTAAAAATTGCTTATTTATTTCATACCATTAAGTCCTTTAAGTTCATATTTGAATGAAACAGATACTATTTTTAATCTCTCTAAATGTCCATTCTATAAATTATTATTGAGTCCATGTTAATAATTAAATCTTTTTAATGCTTCAGATTTTAGTTAAAGAACACGGATACAATAATAATTATACTTTTAAAATTAGATATTTACTAGATACTTCAATGAAAATTAATTACATTCAATAAGACATGCCTTAGATTTTACAAAAAAAGTATAATATTTATTAATTATCTTTATAGTTTACAATCATTAAAGGACCTCCAGGAACAGGTAAAACACAAACCATTATAGGTATTATATCCATAATGTCAGAATTATTAATAAGATCTGATAATAATCCTCAAGGAGGTATTTTGTTATTAGCAAAATCAAATAGTGTTGTTAATGATTTAATTAGAAAAATTCAGAACAATATTGAAAAAGAAAATTCAATTATCTATTGTTTTAACAAAAAGCCTAATAAATTAAAAGTGCTTCGTTTTGGAAGACCAGAAAAATGTGACAATGATATAATGAGATTGAGCTTAGAAATACGATCTTAAAATCATTTTTTTTATTACAAATATAAGAAAAATGTTAAAGAATTAGAAGATATATGTATTAAATCTGAAATAAAATCTAAAATGTAGCGAAATGGCCTAAGAGAGTTTGGAGTTTATTTATAAGAGACAGGTTAATAATATACTCTCATATCTTTGTTGAATTATATTGAAGAACTTAATTTAAGAACACACAATTAGAAAATCTTGGAAGCATATGGAAATTTATATTGTTAATTGTCTTAATTAATTTAAAATAAAAAGAAGGATTATGAATAGATAGAATAAGATTACTTAGAATAAGTATTAAAATATAATTAATTATTTAGTGTCATATTATTGTTACAACTCTTAATAGTTGTTCTAAACTTTGTTTGGAAAAGTATTTCGAAAAAGTAAAACTTAGAATGTGTATTGTTGATGAAGCACCAACTGCATTAGAACCTTCTTTATTAATACCATTTGTAAAATATAAATTCATTGATAAAATTGTATTATTGGGAGATATTAAATAACTCAATCCAATAGTAATTGCAAAAGAATCAAATGATTATGGTTATAATAGATCTTTGTTTTAGAGATTAGCTAAAGGATTAAAATAAGATACATTAAAACTAATAGAATAATATAGATAAATGCCAAATCTTGCATAAATTACATCATAATTATTTTATAGAGATTAATTGAGAAATGGAATCCAAAATATGTAATTTCCTGATTGGATTTCAAATAAGGTATCTGATAATCGCAATAGACTTTTTTTCAGTGCTCCTGCATTTACAGAAAGTAATGAAGAAACAAGTAAAAGAAATGATTTAGAATGCTAAGCAATAATAAAACTAACTAAATATTTATTAAATGGTTCAACCTTCCCTTAAAATCATTAAAAACCAATTACTATTATAAGTGCTTATAGAGCTTAAACTGAGAATATATAAAAATAATTAAAATAAGAGACTTTTTAATTGAATTAACCAGGAGATAATATAAGATATTTATTAGATTATGTTGAATTAGACACGGTAGATTCATTTCAAGGTAAAGAAAATGAAATAATAATTTTATCACTTGTACGATCAAATGATAAATAAGGTTTTTTAAAAGATAAGAAGAGAGCAAATGTAGCATTGTCTAGAGCAAAATATTGTTAATTTATTTTTGGAACTAGTCGTACTATGAGATTGGATTTAAAGAATTGGAATAAAATAATTAAGATATTGAGAGAACAAAATGAAATTATTAATTATAATTAGGAATCGCTTACAAATCCTAACTTTTTTAGGAGAGAATTAATTAATTAATAAATTAATGAATGAATGAATGAATTTCATATAAATATAAATATATATATGAATAAATTTAAATTATTTAAATTATTATATAATTTAGTATAAACATTAGAGTGATTCATAAAATTTAAATAAAATGTTCTATAATTTTAAATGTAAACCATTATAATATACAGAGATGTTTATAAATATCAAAATATATTGCTTTCTATTTGTATTTTTGAAGATTTTCTACTTAATAATTGTCTTTCCATCATATTTATGACTGTATGACGAACATTTTCACTTTAAAATCTTTATCTCTTTTTGATGTGTTTACCCACTAATGGTAATTAAAACCCTTCTAGTCTTTCATCTTCAGAAATAATTGTTAATGGAATCTATTTAAAGTTGTTTGGACTTTCATAAGTTAATTATAGTTCAGGTATTAAGATGGATGAATCTTTTAATGGTCTTAATTATAGAAATATATAAATACTTAATTAGAGGTGCTCTAGGTATCATATTTGAGTTATCTAAATCATCATATGTGAGTTGTCTTTTTCTGTGATCACACATAATATTTATGAATATAAATTATTAAATGAGCATCACAAATTCTTTTGGACTTAAAAACTTAGTTATAAAATATTTTCCTTCTTAAATTCAACCAGAATTATCTAGAAGCTCATATTTGATCATATTTTATATTTAATAATAAATTTAATTTCTATATAAAAAAAGAATTACTAGTATTATAATATATATTTAAATATTATAGTATTCTTTCTCATAATACTTGTATTGTTATATGAAAGGTATCTTTAAATAAATGTCAATAAAATTATCTATGTTAAATTATATATTATTTACTATTAAAATTTGAAAATGAGTATGCCTTATCAATAAACAGGAAATCAATTAGATTATTAAGAAGTAAAATAAACTAAGGCTGATTTAAAAGCAGAAGTACACTTAATAGGATAAATTGTGGGTGGACTTGATTTTCAAACAGATGATGGACTCTTTTGTGAATTAGCTATAGATTGTGGTGATGGATGGGATTTATTACAACCAGGAAACAATAAAGGAATACAAACTTAAACAAGTTATGCAAATGTAAAAATATCATATTAATAATTCAAATAGCCAGGACAACTTTTTTCTTGGGGTCATCCATTTGACTTACACTTTTCAGTATCTAATATAATTGGATGGCCTAAAGCTTTATTAAAAGTTTGGAGATTAGATTCATCAAATAAAATTGATGCTTGTAGTTATGGTACAGCAATTTTTCCAAGAAGTGCTGGTTATCATTAAATAACATGGTATAAATAATAAATCTATTTAGTGAAACATGGACACCAACTGGAGAGAATTTAGATCTTGAAATAAGAAAACCTAATGAAGATTTAGCTACTAATACAGATTAATTCTCAAAATTTGATAGATCTTTGGATTGGAGATTTCAAGCCCTATCATTTTATATGGAAAACCCTCCTAGATTAACAACATTAGCACCATTAACAACTGATAAAGGAGATTTTGCAAGAAGAAAGATTTTGAATAGTATTTCAAATGGAAGAGTTATCATTGAAGTTGAAGTCATCCTAAAGAATTTTAAAAGACTGAGCTTTTCAGGATAATGAATTTTATAATGATTTTATTGATTTTGAGAGTGCTTATAAGATTAATTTTACTAAAATAATAATCAATTTTTTGGATGTGTATTTTAATAATAAAATAAAATTGAGATGAGTGACACTTTTTCTAACTTTATCTTATGTTTTTATTGATAATTTTTAATGTTATATTTATATTTATTTTTATAAATATACTTAAATTATTAATATAAATCAAGTATCATTTAAATATTCCTTTCTCCAATACAGATGACATCTATTCAGTGATTTACTAATTAAAATAACTACAACATTAAACTTTCTCTTGTAAAAATTCATAATTAGAAAGTTGATCATTAAATGTTGAATATCTTTAAGGTTATTCTTAATTATGATAAATTTACATCAATTATATTAGATATTTTATGTTAGTTTATCAAAAATATATGTATAAAATAAAGATCATGTGAAGTAGAAGATTATTGTAGGATCAATTCTGATATAAATATTCATTACTTAAATAAAAATTTAAATAATGATTTTAAATTCATATAAATAAAAAGAAATGAATTCATAAAGAATTGATGAATATACTTTTTAAAATACAAATGAAAAAATTCATATTTTTGGACCTTCTCTAAGCGAATGTTATATGCAAGTCAAAAATCTAGAAGACGAAACTAAGAGTTAATAGATTGTTACTTTTAAATAATAAAATGATGTTTTTATAGTGGAAAATTGGAAAAATTATAATATCGATGTTTGTAATCCTGCATATTAAACCCAATTAAACAAAAAATAGAAGAATTAGTGTTGTACTATATTTTGATTATATTATATTATATTCTAAAACTATATTTTTTTATTCATATATCATCTAACTTCTTAAGTATTAGAATTGAAAATACTTATAGCTTTTTATCAAACTCATTTAAATTAATTAAGAAAACAATAAAAAATTAGTTTAAATGTGAAAGTCAGTAATTATAAATTTAAATACATTGTAATATTAAATATTAAATTTTACATATAAAATTACATCTAATTAATGTATTTCATTTAAAAATCTAATCAAAAATGCTTTTTATTTATCTATTATTCTATAGGATGGCATGATAAAATTCAGTGATTTATAATATTAAATGAAAAATATATATATATATATTCAATTCTAAATATTTGATTTATATCGTGATAAAGTATTGGTAGTTTATTTACAAGAATTTCTGGTCATATAGTCTAAAATAGCATCATTTATTGATCCTGTAACTTTTGGTGGGACAAACAATAAAGGTTCCTTCTAATTGATTGTACTATACATTTTACTGTTATTATCATCAATAGCTGAATATGCCATTTTTAAAGGTTAATTATCATAACAACTATTGTAATTATCTTTTACATTGGTAGTTATTTGAATTTATGAAAACTTTTTTTCAAATTAACTACTTATTTATTCTATTTCTTCAAGTAATTCGTCACTAATATTTTAAAATAACTTGCCCTTTTATTTTGATTCATCATTTGTTATTACTTATTATCTATTACAAATTATGATGTTTGATTCACTTGCTACAAAATATAAGATTGCTGTTTTTGAATCATTTTCAGATGTAGTTATATAGATTGTGCAATCTTATTTAACTTTTACACTATAACTCAATATTGGATTATATGTTTTTGTATAAATTGCTTATATACTTAAATTACCATATATTTCTTCTACAAAAGATGAATTATAATATGGTAAAGCACCTGACCATATGTCTATTTATTCTAAATCTATAGATAATGGAGAGAATGATATTTCATCAACATTACAAATTAATCCAATTGGATAAGATTTCATTTGTTGAATTATTGTTTTGCAATTTTCATAATTTATAGTTAGTACTTTAGTATTTAAATTTGGAAGTTCTATATTTTTTTATTGAAGCATATTTACAGGTTTCATGATAGTGAAAAATCCTCTTTCTGAATACGCTCCAACTATAAAATGTAACTAAATTTATTTATTATCATAATCTTTTTCTATAAGTAAGTAAGAAAATGACAATTTTAAAACCTTTATGTGAGATTTAGCTAATGGCTTAAGTGCTTTATATATAATATCAATTGGAATTTAACAACAAACATAGTTCAATTAAGAATTTAATAAACAAACATCTTGTTACATTTTAATGTTTAGACAACTTGTTTCTGCAAATTTTAAATGATTTTCTCTAATTTATGATTAATATTCATTAAAGAAATCATTATTTATTTATGCAAAGCTAGCAGGTTTATCTGATTTATTAAATTCATTAAATTTTAAATTATCCGGTATTTCTGAAAATTGAATTTCTTTAAGTTAAAATCAGTTAAATACTTTCATCATCACATATAATAATAGGATAAGAGAAAATTTTGAGTAATTGTAGAAATTAATCTATTTTAAGTTTTCCCTCTAAAGTGAAATTCATTATAATTTTATTAATTATATTTTTTAATATATTTACTATAAATTTGCCTTCAATCTCTATATTTAAAGATTATCAAACTAATTATAAAGAGATCTTCTTATAAATAATTATTTTCTGTATTAAAAGATAATTATAAATTTATAATAGATCTCTTTGAAATGGATCTAATTTAATATGATTAAAAATATTGCAATTATAATAGTACTTTTTTCTATTTTAACAATCTTTGTTATGAAATTATTCTTTGAATAATACTCAATCTTAAAATAGGTGGAATTATATAGATATTATAAATTTAATTCGAAAGAGATTTAAATTTATTAAATTAAAATACATAATTTAATGGCTAGACTATAAGTAATATAGGATCAAAATTTGGTAACTTTAATTGTTTAGACTTTATTGAGGATTAAGTTCAATAATATGGAGTACTATATTGATACAATATTAATGATAAATATATTTACAAAGATGTTTAAGTTAGAAATGATAAATTTATAAAGTTTAAAGGCATAAAAATTATTGATTATGATATATATATAAAAGACTATATAGTATTTGATTTAATGTTAAACTTCTGTTTAAGTATATATCTGAGAATTAATTATTATTAACTAAAATAATAAATTGATTGTCAATGAATATTAATATTTTATACTTTCATTCTTATATTAATTTAATTTAATATTATAATGTATTTTTATGAGAAATATGGAAAATACTATAAAATTTACAAATATCCTTAATTAAACTATTATAATAATTATAGAATAATATTAATTTTAATTTTAATTATGATTATATTATATTTTTTAATGAATTTTTAGATTATGATAAATNAAGTGCTTTATATATAATATCAATTGGAATTTAACAACAAACATAGTTCAATTAAGAATTTAATAAACAAACATCTTGTTACATTTTAATGTTTAGACAACTTGTTTCTGCAAATTTTAAATGATTTTCTCTAATTTATGATTAATATTCATTAAAGAAATCATTATTTATTTATGCAAAGCTAGCAGGTTTATCTGATTTATTAAATTCATTAAATTTTAAATTATCCGGTATTTCTGAAAATTGAATTTCTTTAAGTTAAAATCAGTTAAATACTTTCATCATCACATATAATAATAGGATAAGAGAAAATTTTGAGTAATTGTAGAAATTAATCTATTTTAAGTTTTCCCTCTAAAGTGAAATTCATTATAATTTTATTAATTATATTTTTTAATATATTTACTATAAATTTGCCTTCAATCTCTATATTTAAAGATTATCAAACTAATTATAAAGAGATCTTCTTATAAATAATTATTTTCTGTATTAAAAGATAATTATAAATTTATAATAGATCTCTTTGAAATGGATCTAATTTAATATGATTAAAAATATTGCAATTATAATAGTACTTTTTTCTATTTTAACAATCTTTGTTATGAAATTATTCTTTGAATAATACTCAATCTTAAAATAGGTGGAATTATATAGATATTATAAATTTAATTCGAAAGAGATTTAAATTTATTAAATTAAAATACATAATTTAATGGCTAGACTATAAGTAATATAGGATCAAAATTTGGTAACTTTAATTGTTTAGACTTTATTGAGGATTAAGTTCAATAATATGGAGTACTATATTGATACAATATTAATGATAAATATATTTACAAAGATGTTTAAGTTAGAAATGATAAATTTATAAAGTTTAAAGGCATAAAAATTATTGATTATGATATATATATAAAAGACTATATAGTATTTGATTTAATGTTAAACTTCTGTTTAAGTATATATCTGAGAATTAATTATTATTAACTAAAATAATAAATTGATTGTCAATGAATATTAATATTTTATACTTTCATTCTTATATTAATTTAATTTAATATTATAATGTATTTTTATGAGAAATATGGAAAATACTATAAAATTTACAAATATCCTTAATTAAACTATTATAATAATTATAGAATAATATTAATTTTAATTTTAATTATGATTATATTATATTTTTTAATGAATTTTTAGATTATGATAAATTATTGAAACAATATTTTATATTTTAATACATACTCAAAATACTTTATCTTTTCTTTAATTGTTAATATATGATAATTCTTAAACTCTTGGATTAACACTAAACCAATAATGATGAATGTTTTTCTTCTTTCTTTCTTGATATTAGAAATATTATCTTGTAAGAATCTTTTTCATCCTAAAATAATATTTATTTGTGGATTTACTCAAATATGAAGTATACTGATTATAAGAATAATCCAGTGGCTGTAATCTTAACCAATAAAGGAACTTCGCTTTCTGGCCAAGTATTCCATACCATATATGGGACTAAGGAACCTCTGAATATAATATATAATGCTAATAAATGTTTATTAGATTAATTACCAAAATATGCCCACTCACATGCTTCATATAATTTAGTATGTCTCAATCCCACTTATCTGAAGATCACTCTCATATGCATAGGGAAATTGGATACTTCAGCTGACATCAAACCCCCTAAGACATATTAATTTAGACTTACAAATTGAAGATGGAGCTCCAAACTTTGAGATTGTAGCCACAGCATATCCACAAATGGCTAAAGAATGATGAGAGACTAAGGACATATCTGCAAGATCATAATAGAGACAGGCAAGGAAATCATAGACAAAATATGACGCACTAATTATCATTGTAAATTGCATGGTCTGAGAATTGACTGCACCAAAACTTGGCTATTCAACTTCAAATGCATATATCTATTTTACCCAAAACAATATAAGCTGCAGCCCAGAATGTTATGGCTCCATGTATAATTGATACAATTCTGTTCTTGATATCATCTTAAATTTTCTTGGGATGATTTTTTAGATGGACTTTCTAATTTATTATTGCAAATATTGAAGTCCAAATAAAGAATGAATAGCAAAATACTTTCACTTGATTTGAAGTGCTGTTGACTAAATCTATGTTTTCAAGATTTAACATATTTTTATTTATTATAATATGTATAGTTTTTATTATAATGAAAATGAATTTTTTAATATATAAATGATTTTTTTTTCGATAATTTTGTATGTAAATATACTCCATCATATAAATAGGATAAGATAAAAAGAAGTTTGATATGATTTCTCAATAATTTATAAATATCTAAGTAATTAATTAAGTGTATCTCTAAAAAACTGAATTTTAATCATTATAATTCTATATATCTTTGCTAATTAATCATTATTGAAATGAAAATATTGTTACTTAAATCAATAAATTAAATCTCTTTCTAATACCATTAGAGAATTTGAAATTACATTAATAAAATTAATTTAAAATAATGTTTAAAACCAAGACTTATGGTGTACTTATAATGATTTCTCTACTTTATTGATTAATGTATAGTAATGAACAAGCACTCAATAGTTAAAGGTTTATAATAGTTTAAAATTAATAGAAAATAATAAATTATATATCATTTATATAAAAAAATAATAAAAATGGTGTTTTGTAAATTTTGTAGAAAATAAATAGAGGAAAATAAGTTGTTATTACATGAAATTTATTGTGAAAAAAATTCCATTAAATGCAATAGATGTGGATTACTTTACGATAAAAATGATTAAGAATCACATGATGAAGTTTTTCATAAATAAGAAATTTGCTAATTTTGTCATATTCCTTATTAAGATTTATCGTATATATATATAATATCATTTTAGAAAGCATATTTGTAAAAATAGATAAGTTCTTTGTGATTATTGTAAAATGGAAGTTCCTTTAAATAATTATTCATAACATGATATTTATTGTAGTAGCAAAACAGAAATTTGTTATTATTGCAAGTAATATATAAAAAAAAGAGATCTAAATATACATTAACAAAGCTGTCGATAATAAAATACCTATAAGGACTAGGAGTATAAATAAAATAGTATTAAAATTAATGAATAACAGAAAGACGAAATGAACTATCCTTAGTCTAATTAGGTTCCAAACTATATCAAAAATTAAGATTTTTTAAATCTAATTTCAGATCCAAATGTCTTTGAAGAGGCTTACAAAAATTTAGATGTAAAGAAATAAATATTTTCATCTAATTCTAAAGGGCCTATTTTTTCATATAATTAAAGCTAAGATTAGTATTAATATGATTCTATTCATCCCTTCAACTTTCCTTAAAATCAATAATAACAATAATAGACATAATAGAATTTGTTTTATTAATAAAATTTTTAAAATCCTAATATATTATAATAAAAATAGGATATTAAATTCAGATCAATGCAAACTTCTTAAAATTAATATGGCGAAAATTTCAAATAAAATCTGATATAAGATTAATAATTAAATAGATATCTATTGATGAATTCAATTAATAAATAAGTTTAAAATGAATTATCTCCTTATAACAAAAATTAAATTTAACCTAATTAAGATTAACAAATGGAAGTTGAATTTCAATAATAGATATAATAGGATAATGATAAAGAAATTGTAGTAGATAGAAATACTTAAAATAATGAAACTTAAAATGTTAATAATTCTAATGATAGTATAATTGGTAGAATATTATAAGAAAAAATTGAAGCAGATATTCTATAAATGAATTATTCAGAATATATAAAATAAAAAAAGCTTTAATAAAAATTTGAATAATAATAATAATAATAATAATAATAACAATAATAATAATAATAATAATAATAATAATAATAAATAGGACATCCTAAACCAAACATTCAAAACCTAACAAATAATATTGATACAGAATTCGAATATATGTCAGAAGATTAGATATAATAATAAATAATTATGCTTTAAATGTATGACAGATAAAAGGCTTTAAGAAGATGAAGAATTTTATTAATATTTATTAACAATAATAAATTTAAATTTGTAATCATGTACCTTGAATTTGATGAAGACTTTTACCAAATTTAGAATTATGTCAAATAAGTGAACTCAAATCTTGTAGTGCTTCCTTAAGATAATGTAGAATCTGAGATTGAACTTTTCGAAAAAATGATTCTGCAAATTAAAATATATGGTTCAAAAATTATAGAGTTGTATCAATCATTAGATGAAATATGTCCAACCGATAGATAAATTTAAGCCATCATTCCATAAACCAAATTAGAATAAATTGATTATGATTAAGTTTGGTTGGCTCTTAATAAAGGATTTGTAAATGATAAATATAAAGCAATGGATTTGATGTAGTAATTAGATTATACAATCAAATTGAATTAAACATAATAAGCAAAATTTATAGAATTCTTATAAATTACATGTAGATGTAAAGATAGGGAATTAGAAAAATTAAGTTAATTATTTCAAAATCAATATCCAGAATCTTATTTTAAATAGATTGAGTATTTAACTGAGATGCTTCATTAATATAGTTAAATGGTACCTTTATTGGTATAAGAAAATGAAAACTTAAGATAGGAAATTGAAAATACAAAATGTAATGATAATGATGGATAAAGTAATGAAATAAGTTAATTACGTTTGCATTTATAGAATATAGAAAAATAATTGACTGAAACATAATCTTAAAATGAATATTATTAATAAATGATAAAAGCAGAGGAATAAGTAAGATAAAATAAAACATAATTATAAATGTTATAAATTGATAATTAAGATTTAATATTTAAGAATAATACACTTAATGAAGAAATTAAAAATTATTAAGATTAAATTAAGACTCAAAATGAAAGTTTTGATCGCATGTAGATGGAATATAAGAAGATTATTTAAAAGAAAAATTAATAAATTTAAGAATTAGAAGAAAAAAACAATTTAGATTTAACAATTAAAGATAATAATTTAGTAGATATAGATTTAATTCAATAAAAAATTTAGTAATTTAAATAATTATATGAATAAAAAATAAAACATTTAACTGGAACAATTACTCATTTAGAATAAGAGAATTTTAAATTAAAAGATTTAGTTAGATCATCAGCTTTAGAAGTGGATAGTTTAAGATTGTAAATAGAAAAGATTATATAAAGTAATAATAAAAAGACTTTAAAATTACCTAAAAAAATTTAATAGGATTATGTTTAAGTATATTATTAAATTATATATTATAGTTATATCAAAAATATTAAGAAGTAGTAGAAAAAAATGAACAATTAAGTTAGCAATTATATAGTTAAATATTAGATGGTAGTGTATTATCACATATTTGACTTTTGTTATATTTTACTTAATTAAATAAATAGTATAATAATAATAATAATAATAATAATTTTTGAAATTTCTTAGATTGTAAAAAAAAAAATTATTTTTTAATGTCAAATTCTTGTAATATAATTTATCTATTATGATATAATATATATATATAAAAATGTTTAGTAATATTAAATATCATTTTTATAAAGGACATCAATTTACTTTTTAATACAGTATTAATTAAATTAAAATTAATGGGAAATGGGTAATGTTGTAAGAAAGTGGATAGAGTTGAAACATTATAATATGATGATGAAACTTCTCATCCAGATACATCTAAAAGAGGATCTATAAAATAAGGGGATTAATAACCTTAAATGTTAAGTTAATCAGATTCAGATGAAGAATATCCAAAGAGAAAATAACATTAATTAGGGGTTTTGAAGGAACCACAAAAAACATCATAACTATCAACGATATAATAATATTCATTTTAAAGTTTTTCATCAGAGCAACAATTTCAAAATTTTGTTACATTTCAAGCTTTACCATCATAACATGGAATGCAAGGAAATGTATTTTAAAAGTTTTAAGCAGAGATGAATTAAATTGTCCAATAATCATAAACATAAGTACCAAAAAACTAAAAAAAAGTATAATTTGCAAATTGATCAAGATTCTTAATAAACTAATATATTGATTAAATATAAATCAAAAATCTTTTTCATAGTCAAATGTTTTCCAACATTATTTTTCTTATTTTATTTATTCATGTTATTTAATAAAACTCATAAATGCTTAAACTTAATTGATTTCAATTCCTTATGCTTATTATTATTCATCAATTTCAATTTAATCATCATTTTCTTAAATATCTTTTCTTCTATACTTTTTATATTTTTAAGAATCATCACTATTATTATCATAATAATCTTCCTCCTCTTCTAAATCCTAATCATCTGAACTTTCATTTTCAGGATAATCATATCCATCTTAATCTGTACGTTATGAATCTTCACTATCAATACTTGAATTATGTTCACTATCAACATAATGATTATCAAAATATTTTTCTATTTATTTAGCATCAATTTTCATTGAAGTACTCTTCTTTTCTTAATTAATTTCATTCTTATTAACTTACTTCATAATATAATAATCTTTCTCTAATTAATCATCTTAGTTTTGATCACAACATTTAAGATTATTCTTATCTTATTCTAATTCAATTATAAACTATAATAAATAATGAAATCATTACTTTATTTCTATTTTCTTATAACATTTTTTCTCTTATATCTCTTCTAAATTTATCTACAAATTATTCTCTTCTATCTTTTAAAATACTTTTATATTAGGTTTCTTCAAAATATTAATTAGTATCTTAAGATTAAAGTTTTTCTAAGACTACACTATTAGATTGAATATTTAAATTACATTTTTTAAGTTTCATCATTTAAAGATAGATTTTTTGTTTAATTAATAATATCATCAAAATTTACTTTTAATTGTTTCCTTGAATTTATAAATCGCATCATTTCCTCATCATTTTATAAATCTTAAAATTCATTGATTTTTATTTTACATATATTATCATAAGATTGATCTCCTAATTTTCTCTTTATACTAAAAATGATCTCTTAATTCTCACTTTATTCAACCTTTTTTTTTACTCTTGCCTTTAATTCCTTTCTTTCAAACATCTACCAAAAATTTACTTTATTTAATATAAATTAAAACAATTTCATCAATCATTACTTCATATACGAACCTGCTCCAAATATCAATGCTATTGTCACTTAAAACCATTTGAAATCTTTAAAGAATTTACTACAACTCTCTGGATTGTCAAAATCTGTTGACTTTAATCTCAAATACATATCCAATTAATTCAATGCAATCAATGGATAAACACCTGGATGATATGATGCAGCATAACATGTTAATCCAATCAATCCAGAAAATACCCATGTCAAATACAAAGGAGTATTCTTAGGAAGAGTATAAGCTGTTGAATATAATCCTAAACTCTTATCATATTCTTTATCTTAATGACCATAAACTGTATCATATATTAAAGTATTTACAATCCCAGCTGTATATCCTAACATAATCGCTGGATTTAACATTCCTGCCAATTATAAACCTCCAACTACTATACCCCAATTAAATGCTATCCCTAAAACTAATTAAGGATAACTAAAATATCGTTTAGCTAAAGGATATAAAAAGGCTATTGGAACTATTCCAAATGATGCTGCTATTGTATTCCAATTAAGTTGAGTCAATACTAATAATCCAACTGAACAATGTGCAAATAAACTAATCCATGCATCTTTCATTTGTAATTCTCCTGAAGCCAATGGTCTTAGTCTTGTTCGTTCTACTTTATTATCTATATTCTTATCCCACATATCATTCACAACACAACCTGCTGCTCTCATTGTGAATGATCCAACTCCAAATACACTACTATACCAAATTATTTCTTAAAAATTAAAAGTTGGTTATCCTAATATGGTTCCCCAAATGCATGGTATATGAAGCAACAAAGCTCCAATAGGTTTATCATGACGAGCCAATCTTAAATGAGCACTCAAATATTTAATCATAATAATATAATTCAAATATTAAATTCATTATTAATCAAATTCATTAATTAAAATTTGTATTTTAGGCATTCAGAGTTTGTAGATAATTCAATATTATCATACATTAGTATATGCCTTAAATTAAATTATCAAGAGTATAATTAGCTTTTATTCACTTAGATTGAATATTTGTTGACAACTCTTGAACATTAAAAACTTAATAATCAATTATTAAGATTAAAAAAAAAGTATTAGTTCCATATTGATAAAAAAGTAAGTTATCAATGATATAAACTTATTTTACAAAGCCATCTTAATCTATATGTTAATACATTAATTGATTAACATAATGCAGATGGCAAAATAGAATCGGGGTTTATTAGCAGATATAAATTAAATATTTATTTCTGTCAGTCACTCTTGGATATTCATTTATATATAAATAAAACATATTTCACTTAATTTGATATAACATGGAATTCTTAACAAACTTATTATTTAATATAAAATTAATTTGATTTAACAATTTTTTTAATAGAAACAACAGACACACGTCATATTATCTAATTATTAGTCATATTATATTATGTCTTTATATCTTTTATAAGTTAAGATTGTAAGAATTATTAATAAATATTACAAAATGTCATGTTAATTAGAAGACTTAGGCAGAGTTTTCCCAAGGAAATCAGTTTTACTAAAAACATATATGTTGGGTTGTTTTTACTTGTTTTATCAAACAATCAAGCCTGATGAAAAAAAGAAAGAGAAACAACATATTTCAGAATTGAGACCAAACATTTTAAGAAATCATTGTTAACGAAATTTATTTTAAATGACTTGTAGAAATGACTAATAGATGTAAATGAAGTAATAGTAAAAGACTTCTTATGGTTTAATGGAATTTAGTATAATATTAAATCAATATAGGAACATCATTATTCCCTGCTTAAGATTAAAAATTAAACAATTCAACTTCTTAAGTGGTATATATATTGAATATATATGTAGCATATACTTCAAATACATTCTAAAAAACTCTAACATTTTTGTTTGGATGACTTATCAACAATTGAAAGTGAGTTTATCCCTGATCTTAAATTAGATCTTTAGACTCATTCTACTGTTGATATGACTCAAAGCTGTATGTTTTGAATGTCAATTTCATACTTCCTCTATCTTTTTAAAGATATAAGCAATATAATAGTATATATATATATTAAACTAAAATTTATTTTAAACCTCTATTTCTAATCAGTTATTTATTTAAAATAATGTCGTAAAAATCAAAAACTTTGTTGCATTTATTGCAATAGTAATAACATTATCATGATGATATTAATACATCCTTAGAATCAAATTATAAACATAGTTCAGAACATACAGAAAAGAAATTTGATTTAAAACTTTAAAAATCTGTAGTGGAACTATATTAATAAATAAAAAGCAGCATCTAAAAAACAGAAGATCAAGTTTAATTTATAAATTATATATAGTTGTTATTATGTTAGATAAGGAAAGTAGTGCCTCTTGATAAACAAGAAGATTTATATACAGATCCCATCTCTTTAATTTGTTATATTGGATGCATGTTCTCGATTGTCTTGCAAAATAAAGTATTCTTTGAGTGAGATTAGTTCAATTTAGAATAATAGATAGAAGATCAAAACTCAAGAAACTAAAATGATTATGAAGAATAATTGATCAAATTGGAGGCAGAGATCCGTCAACATATACGAGTATTATATATAAAACTAATTAAGATTGAACAATAATTGAAGATATATGCTGAAAATACATAATCAAAATTAGAAGATGTAGTTAAAATTAAAGATGATTTAGAAGAAGAATTGTAAACAATCAAAAATCAATTCTAAGTATTTAATTATTGACATTAAGATTTTATATGATAAAAATAATGTATTGAATCAAAAATTAAAGATATAAGAAAAGGATTTACAAAACATAAAACTAAATTCAAAAATTGATTTAAATTCTTAAAATAATAAATTTGTATAATAATCTAACAAAACATAATTGGGAAAAGATAATATTGAAAATGAGTTTATGAAATAATAGACTATCTCATTAAATGGCTAAAAGGATAAATTTAAATTTCTTGGTTAAGAATATGTAATAATATATAATATTTTTAAAAGGAAAACAGATTACTTACAGAACCATAAGAAGATTATTAAAAATTAAGAAATAATTCATAAAAAAGAATATTTTCTACACATATCTCTAATAATAATAATAAATCAAATAATTTAGCATGTAGAGTTTAAACTGAAACTAGTGAATATTTAGATAAAAATAGAAAAAGTAATTTATCTCATTATGAAACATCATAAAATACAATAAATCATCAAAGAAATTAGACATCATAAAATGTTTTAAATTTAATAAGTAAATAAATTATTATATATCAAAAGATCAAGAATTTAAACGATAATAATCAATTAAAGGTTGTTCTGAAAAGTCTACAATTAATTCAACTAAACCATAAAAGAAAACATCTTCATCTTAACATACTGAAGCAAATAGATCAAATAATTCTGTTCATAGTTTTCGTAAATAACATTAAGAAGTTATCTAAATTCCAAGACCATTTTCATGTGCTGAATAAATTGAAGAAGCATAACATTCAGTAAATTTTTAATTTATAAACAAGTTACGTAAAGATATAAGTGTAGATTTAAATGGATAATAAAAATTAAATGCTGATTATTTGGAAAATCAATTATAAATAAAGAAACTTTTACAATAATATTAACAAAAACATTCCTTTAATGATAATTTGACTAAAAAATTACTGTAAGAATACAAAAAAAGATCAGGATATAATTGTAAAACCATTTAATGATGATTAATTAATATATATATATATATATTATTTATTAAATAAGAATCAATATGAAAGCTATAAAGGTTTACTTAATTGATTTGTTCATGCAATTTAGAATTAAATTAAATGATAAATTATCCTAATCTAATATAAATATATAAAATTTAAAATATTCAAGATGGCTGATCAAAATTAACGTATTGCATTAGAAGCAAAATACATTAAATTATTAAAGGAAGTTGAGGATAAAGAAAGACATGTCAAAGAATGTAAAATTAAATTGTAATGATTAGTAAGAGCATAAACAAAATAAAAAAAGAATGATTTTGAAAAGTTTGAAGATAATATCAAAAGTTTAAATATAAGAGGATAAGCAGTTGGTGAAATATTAATGAAAATAAATGATGAAAAATGTAATATGAAAAACTTAATTAAGATATTTCAAAATTGAATAGTGGACCTAGATATGTAGTAGGTGCCAAACCTAAACTTGATAGAGAGAAATTGGTTGTAGGAACAAGAATTGCACTTGATTAAGAAACATATACAATAGTTAGAATATTACCAAGAGAAGTAGATCCTTAAGTATTCCATATGGCTCATGAAGATCCAGGAAAGGTTTTATTTGATGAAATTGGAGGATTAAATGATCAACTTCGTGTTTTAAGAGAAGTATCTATAAAAATTTAAGTATAGACTATAGAATTACCTATAACTAATCCTGAATTATTCAAGAGAGTAGGTGTAAAACCTCCTAAAGGTTGTTTAATGTATGGTCCTCCAGGTACTGGTAAAACTTTAATAGCAAGGTATAATAATAAGATATAATAAAGAGCTTTGGCTTGTAATGTTTAGGCAAAATTCTTGAAAATTGTTGCTTCTAGTATAGTAGATAAGTACATTGGAGAAAGTGCTAGAGTGATAAGAGAAATGTTTACATATGCTAAAGAGAATTAGCCTTGCATTATTTTTATGGATGAAATAGATGCAATCGGAGGAAGGAGATTTAGTGATGGAACATCTGCTGATAGAGAAATATAAAGAACACTTATGGAATTATTAAATCAATTAGATGGTTTTGATGATTTGGGTAAAGTTAAAGTAGTAATGGCTACTAATAGACCAGATATTTTGGATCCAGCTCTTTTAAGACCAGGTAGATTGGATAGAAGTATAAATTTTAATATTTAATATATTAGAGGTTGAAATTCCATTACCTAATGAATAAGCTAGATATGATATTTTAAAGATTCATTCAAGAAATATTACAACTAAAGGAGAAGTAGATTTTGAATAGTTAGCAAAATTATGTGAAGAATTTAATGGAGCTGATTTAAGAAATGTATGTACTGAAGCAGGTAAATTAATATAATAATATTCTAAGGTATGTTTGCCATAAGAGCAGATAGAGATTATGTTATTGAAGAAGATTATTTCAAAGCAGGTAGAAAAATAAAAGACGCCAAAAAATTAGAATCTAAACTAGAGTATTAAAAGGTTTGATTAATAATATATATATATATATAAAATTTAAAGATGTAAACCTCGCTATTTCAAGAAATCGAAGAGTTCTCTTAATGTTCAAATTGGATTGAAAACTAAGACTCTGTTGGTTCTTCTTATAATGATCTTTTCCTATTTGGTTATAGTATTTTATATTGTAAATTCTATTTCAACAGAATCGAAGCTCTTCTTTTCAACAGAAACAGATTCCTCCTCTACTGAATAGTTTGAGGCATTTACTTCCATTTTTAATTAAACTTCAGAGAAATGTTCAAATGAGAACGAGAACACTTAAAATTAGTTCAATATTTCATTACAAATTGTAATATAAATTTAGAAATTAGATTATCAATGATAAACGAACTACTTTAATGATTAGAAATATTCCCAATAATTACACAGTAAAAAGATTACAAAATGAAATAGATTTCAAATTTTCATAAAAATACGATTATTTAAATATACCTTGTAATTTAGAATAAGATTTTGCATTTATTAATCTTAAAAATAAAAAATTTCTTCATGAATTTTTCTTAGCTTTTAATGATAGACCTTGGAACTTCAATAAAACATAAGTAAAATAAATTATACTATTATAGATTTTTGTATTAAAATATGCAAAATTATAATATAATGAAAATCAATTAAAATATCAAAAGATGATAGGTTTAAATATATATTCAAACTAAAAAAAAAGTAATTGATTTGATATAAAATCAAAAAAATGAGTTAAAATTATGAATTTCTTCTTTTTAATTAAATTGATTATGTTAAATATTTTTAATTATGTATTTTTCAGGAATTTAGCCAACAGGAAAAATGCATATAGGCAATTATTTAGGTGCAGTTAGAAATTGGGTTAAATTATAATAAACAGGAAATCAAAATATATACTGTATAGTTGATTTACATGCTTTAACTGATAAATTAACAATAGATCATGAAATAAAATTTGATTAGAATACAAAATCAGATACTTTGTCTCTTGCAGCTACATTAATTGCATCTGGAATCAATCCTAACAAATCTATATTTTTTGTCTAAAGTCATGTACCTGAACATGCTGAATTATAATGGATTCTATCATGTGTTGCCCCTAAAAATTGGCTTAATAAAATGACATAATATAAGGATAAAAAGAAGGAATATTCAACTCTTGGATTATATACATATCCATTATTGATGGCAGCAGACATTATACTTTATCAGTAATTAATTAAATTTATTTAGGGCATAATATGTGCCAGTTGGTTTAGATTAGAAATAACATATTGAATTAACTAGAGATTATGTTTAAAGATTAAATTCTCTTTTTAAATTAAATATTGTAGAACCTTAATATTTGGAATGTAATTGAAAATGGATGTTATCATAGCTACTTGTCCAAAAATTATGAGTTTAAGAGATGGTAATAAAAAAATGTCGAAATCAGATACAATTGATGGAAATAGAATTAATATAGATGATTCAAAAGAGGAGATCTTTGAAAAAATTAAAAGATCAAAAACTGATTCAATTCCATAAATATATTTTGATCAAGATAAAAGACCTGAAATCTCTAATCTTTTAAGAATATATTAAGCCTTTAGTAATATGAGTATAGAACAAGTTATAGATAAGTATTAGACAAAAACTACTGTTGATTTTAAAAGAGATTTATCTGAATTGATTTCTAATGAATTAAATAATATTGCTGAAAAAAAGAAATAAATTCTATAGAATCAAAATGAATTAGAATAAATGTTGAAAATAGGTAGTATAAAAGCTAGAGAAATAGCTTCTAAAAATTTGAGATTGATAAAAGAAAATATAGGATTATTAGTTTGAGTTTTTAATGTATTAATTACACAAATCATTCACCCTCAAAATCTATTAGATATTCTTCACTTAAACTTCCATATTAAAGAGATAACTTCTGGTTTTCTGAAGAAAAAGAACCTGGCCAATATTATGTGGATGAAATCTCTTTAGATAAAAGATTTAAAAATTTATAACAAGCTGCTACAAGTTCAGAAGAAAAAAATGTTCTAGTTTATTATTATTATGGATCTTAAAGCATTGTCGATTTAAATTTTAATAGTTTAGTTGGATTAAAAGAATATTATTTACCAATATTCTCAGTAACAAATTCATGTATTCTTGATTTAAAATTCTCATCTCGTATGACCTATAATTTTCTATATATAATTCTATTTAAATATATAGTGATATTACTTATGATATAGATAATTCCACTTACACATAACAAATTTACTCCAACGACATAGTCCAACTCCATGTAAAGGTAATGCTTCAAATAAATATAATTAATTTTCATTCAAACGTATTAAAATTCCAATGTGATCAAAACTAGATTATGTTAATGATCTTTAAATATGACAATTAATGTCTTTCCCTTGAAACAATAAAATATCACCATCATCAGCATCTTCCATTATCTATAATGATGAAATGCGTTCAAACTAAAATATATAATTAAATAATTTATTACTCTCCAAAAACGTTCATATGAACTTAATGATTTCAACACTTTCAATGAACCTATAGAATCTTATAAATGTTATTTTATCAATTAAACCCATGTTTTCGTTTGTTCTAAAGTTCCTCCCTTAAACTGAAATACCTTTTGAGTTTAACCTAAAGGTTTTAAACTACAATAATAAAGATATTTATACATAAATTCTACTGTATTTCCATTTTTATCTTATATTTCTTATAATTGAAATGACTAAACATCAAAATTTAAAACTCCTTAGAGTTTCTTATTTTCAATATTATAATATCTAAATACTCTATTTCTTAATATACAATTTCTCTATGAATAGCCTTAAAACCAATGAGGACTTTTTTTCATTAAACTTCCCTCTATCATTCCTAATTTTGGTCTATTTTACACAATGTTGATAATTTCATTTTCGTTTTGTTATAATTCTTCATCCATCTTCAAAGCTTTATAATAATATATTAGAGATGTTTAATCACCATTTTAAACTTCCATAGCTTCAAATTCATCATTATCATTCATTTAATTTTACTTTCTAAATAATTTATCTTCTTCACTCCTTTTTGCTGCACTCTTTAAATTGGTTTCATAATCTGGACCCAATATTTTCCCAGTACTAGTTATTGAAGAAGTTTGAACAATGCCCAACGGAGAAGGCAAATCAATAGAAGTTTACATTAAATAATTAATGAATTATATATCATCCTTCAAAAATAACTAGATATTCTGGACTCAACGTTGCTCCTTATAATAATTATAACTGTTTCTCTTAAGTAAAATCATTTGGATAATATTGGGTAGAAGACTTTACTTAATCAAGTAGTCCCATTTCTTTATAAGCTTTAGCAACCAATTCAGAACAAAAATATGATCTTTTCTTTTCTCCTTTTTACTTATCTGATGATTTTTATATAGTAGATGTAAATCTAAAGAATTTCCCAATATTCAAGCTATAATCATTACCTAAATTCTCATTAATAAAGTCCAAAAATCTTTTTTAAACTCCATAATCATTCTTTTGGGAATAGTTTAATTTTCTAATGCAAACTTTCTCATAAAATTTGTACCATTCTTATTGTTTTAAATAATCTAATTTACTAAATATAATTATAAAATACCCCATCGAAATGTTCCAACTCCTGTTTATACAGCCTCATATACATATAATTATTAATTTTCCTTATACAAAATTCCAACATGATCAAATTCAGAATTAAGTAGAATTCTTTAAGCTGAAGCAAATCTATCCTTTGATTTAAATAGAACTATATCTCCATTATCACATTCCTCTTATACTTATAGATTTGAAAATTAATAATGTTTCCAAAATTTTGGAGTTTTACTCAAGAAAGTCATTTATTTTGTTCTTCCATCTGATAAATTTAAATGTTCTTAAATTGTTTCTGCCCATATTTAAGTTTCCTATATCTTTTCATTCTTAAATATAAACTATTTTTCACAACCCTTAGGTATTAATCTAAAGTTCATATATTGTGTCAATACCTAAATTCAATTATTTTGTTTTCACTATTTCTCTATTCAAAATACTAGTATTCTTAAAGATCAAAATTTAATGATCCTTCTAATAGATTTTTTTTTTCATGATTATAATAAGAAAGCTTTCTATTATCTAAAATACAATATTTTTTTTAAAATCCTTAAATAAAATGAGGACTTTTCTTCAACATGATTCCAGTTAACTGCTTTAATTATTGTCTATTTCCTTTAAAAACACTTGGCATAATAACTTATGGAATCACTCTTTGATAATCTTGATTAGGATTAATATAAATTGTTTATTGCATATTGTCAGATTCAACAACTATTTCTTCTGGTTTTATATTCGGATCAGCATTTAGGTTATTTCTCATTATGTTTCTATTTATTTAAGAGTGCATTAAAGCTTAATGAACTCTTTAATTATTTTGAAAGACGCTTTTATTCATTTTTTATTAATAATAATTAAGAATCAAATTATTTATTTAGTATATTTCATAGTTAATCTTTAAAAGAATTTACTATTAAGTTTGTGTTATTGAATAAAATGAAATAACATAAAATCTAAATAAATTTGTGCATTTAAATGTAAAAATTATATTAGATTTAAGTCAAACCATAGTTTCTATTGTTATTTACTGAGAGATTTCCTCTTTTTTTATGTTAAATGTAATTCATTTCAAAAGTGAATATAATTTAAAGTAAATATTTAAAATTAATAATTTTGATTATAAGTTTAGTGTATGAGGAATAACTAAAGAGAGATATATAATAATAATAATAAATTTCGTTTGTTTAATTTAAAAAGTAGCGGGTTAGCCGTTCCCCGAGGTCGTGTAAGTCAGGGTCGACTATGCTGGGACCGGAGCAAGCCCCAAGTAAACCCAGCCCCATTTAAAAATTGCAGTGATATCATTCTCCTCGTAGGAGATATCAGATATCACTCTGATAAGAACAGATACTACACTTGATCTTAGCCAAAAGGCCGAGAAGGTATGAAATTTAATAGTGTATTTAATTCCTTTAAATATTATTATTAATTTTAATATATTATGGGTTTTAAAATTAACTTTAATTTAATATTAAAAAAAGGTTTAGTTATAAAATTTAATATGTTTTAATTGATTTTAAGAATAAAATTAAATTCTATTGATATATATATAAAATATATGATTTTATATTGATTTTAATAGATCTTAAGATGATAGAGATTAAAAATAAAAAAAAGATAATAAAATAATAAACTACCATATTAAATATAAATATTCTTATTATATATTATTGTAAATATTGAAATAATCTAATAAATGTAACTTAATTACTTATTGAAATATTTAATCCTTTAATTTTATTAAATATATAATTTAGTATTTATACAGATTGATAATTAAATAGAGTAAGAATCTTAAGAGTAGGAATAATTTTTTTTAATATTTTAATGAGTTCATTGAGATAATTTCAATAATTTATTCATTAATAAATGAAGATTAATTCTTGATATAAATAGTTTATTTATATTGATTGTTAAATTTAGATCCAGATTTATTTTTAAATTAACAGTTTTAATAATTTGAATTATTGTGTTTTATTTTGAAGCATAATTTATATTCAGTATGTTAAATAAACAAAACTTACTAACTAATTTAATATTCAATTGTATTACACATATTTAAACTCAATATTTTACTTTAATTTATGTTTAAGTAATTTTGATTTATTTTTATGCTTTTTAAGAAATTGCATTTTGTTTAGATTAGGTTTTACTCAATTTTGTGATGATAAGTTATTGGTAAGTGAATTAGAATATGTATTGAATATTGTGATTATTTGGATAAAGGTATAATAATAAATATATAATCCGTTTTGATGAAACAAGCAATATTGATTTTAGCAATCATTTCTTTAAGTTTTGCTGGTCATAATATTCGTCATCGTAAATAGAACGCTGCAAACTCATAAAAATCATTGGTATAGACTTAAGAAATTTAATATATTGATGATGATAAAAGCTATTCAGAATCTGCTGAAACTGTATAGAAAGAAGCTGAATTAGTCTAAGAAACATAAATATAATCAGAATATACAGAATAATAATTATAATAAGAGCAATAAGAATCTGAAATAAGTTTAACTAGCTAAGAGCAAGATTAATTAGATTTAGAAGAATAAAAAAAATATGAAGAAGAAAAATAAAAACAATTATCATCAACCAAAGGTTCTGATGATGACTATTATATGAATGCTTTGAATGTTGAAGTTTAAACTTAAGATCCATCTGATCAAATGCCAGTTGATGTTGTAGAAAATCAACTTAATCCAGTGTTTGAGAAGGATTCAATTCCAGATTAAAAAGGAGTAGATTCACCATTTTAACCTGCAGATGGTTCATTGATGATGAATCCTGAAGAACCTGAATATGAAATTAAATAAACTTAATTAATGCCAGATGAAGTACCTGCAGAACAATTATAAGAATATATGGAAAAAATAGAAGCCTAAGAAGCATAAGAAATGGCAATTCTAGCAGCTTAAGGACCAAAATGATTAATATTATAATAACAACATATATATATCCAGAATAACAAATACTCTAAATTATTAAATATATGTTTAATCAATTAGTTAAATACAAGCAAATCTTAAAATAAGTAAATAATATAATACATAATAAAAATAATAATATAAATAGATCAATAATTATTTATACAATAGAATAAATATATTAGAAGCTAAAATAAATTAAGTAAAAAATAATAATTATGATTATAATCCAAGAAACTATCCATATCTTAAATTTATTTTAAATTGAACAAATATTAGTCACAAAAATTAATGAAAGGTATTTTGATTATATATTTGAAAATTAATATATTTTTTATTAATTTTAGTTAATTGTTGTAATGTATACATTAAATTAATGATTAAGTAAGTCTATTTTATTAATTATAATAATAAGATTGTTAATTACAATAATATTTAGTATATTTATTATGAAACTAATCCTAATAATAAATTGTTAATTTAGAACTAAACTTTGTTACTTAGTACAGTTTCTATAAATTAAAGATATTCATAATGTTTTTAAAACTTTTGAGTTGTTATTTTAATTATTTTTGATAATAAATTTTTATAATTTACTCTTATTTTAAATGCTATAGAAAATAATTGTGGCATTTAGTTCTACAGCAAATACTTTTAAAAATAAATCTAAACTAACAGAATTTTATAAGGCAATTCATCCAGATATGTTGTAAAATGCACCTGATAATGTGAAAATGGAGAATACAAGATCATTAAAGATTCTTAATAATTATTTTGATGCTGTTTCATAAAATGAGCGTACAGAACCACAAGAATTGGTGTTTTATATGGCTGAAAAGTAAAATACTAAAGCTAGAAAGTTTTTACCATTTACAATTGTATTGGATGCATATTTAGGAAAGGATTAATAAGGTGCAATAGATAAGTAAGTAGATGTAAATTTATTATAGAGTAACAACTTAAATAAGGGAATAAATAAATTAGAAATATTAGGAAATTAGAAAGGATTTTGAAGAAAAGCATGCTAATCCATTTGTTACATATTCAAATTAATATGAAAAAGTAAAGAAAAACTTTTTTGAAACAACAACATCATTAAAGAAAAGATCATCAACAAAAGAATCTGAATAATTAGCATTAAGAGCATCTATCTTTTCAGCTCAAATGTAATCGGAATATGACAATTTTTTAAAGAATGCAAATTAATAAATGAGATAAGCTAATATGCCTTAAATAAAACCTAGATTATGGGCTAGTATAATGCTTGATAAATGTGATATGATACCTAACTTATTTCAAATATTTGATTAATTGATTGATCCAAGATTAATATTTTTTGATCAAGATTTAACTTAAGAATAAAGTGATATATGTATGAATAATTTATATTATTAAAATTAGTTATTGAAAAAATGATACCAAAAACAACAAATTTGATGAATGTATAAGCATTATCTCCTTTTTTCTCAAGATTGGAAAAGTCTGATCCTTAGATATGTTTATATGTTACAAAAAAATATGGAGCAAAAGACATTCCAGGATATTTTAGTGTAATAATTATATAATATATTAAGATTCCATATAATTTTGATGTTTAAGAAATACAACAATAATTTGGAATATATTAAAAGTAAATTAAA